TCTTGAGTGCAGTGGAGTGCAGTAGATCTCCACGCTGATTTCAGGTTAACGAAGGCCTGTCTCGCTGTCTTTCCGATCGTGGCTTTGATATCCTCATCTATGCCACCTGTAGTTGAAACGATGTTGTCTAGGTAGGTAGGTAGGTCAAAGAGACAACTTCCTTTACATTTCTCCCATGTGTAGTGCTTGTTGTTGTTGGTAGGGTATCTTCATCAACTCCATCTTCTCTACGTTCACCTGGAGTCCAATCTTCGCTGCCCTGCCTCTTCTGTCAACTTGCTGGTTTTTGACCTGTAGATCTTTGAGTTTGTGTGACACGTTGGCGAAATCCATGTCGTCTAGGGTATTTTCATCGGTCCAGCGGCGTATGCCAATCTTCTCACAGCTCCTCACAGTTTGATGCATGATTTAGTACGGTCGTCCATAATCAGGAAGATTGATCATTGTTGATAGTATGTGGCAGCCTTTCTCACGCCTTTCTTTACTTCAAGGGCGTCACTGAACTTTCCGTTGTTAATTGCTAGGGATGTGGCTTCCTCATAAAGCATATAGCTGCTGTTCAGTGAGGTTGATAATGGTCTGTAGCACTGAAACTGTAGTGTTGAAGCAGCTGTCTGCCAAATTACTTCTCGGTCGACGCTATCGAAGGCCTTTTCAAAATCGATGAAATTGAATTGACTGACATTCTACGCCCACACCAGATCTAAACGCCACCGGATTCAGGAGTAACATAAAGCTTTTTGGCTAGTTTCACCAGCTGTTTGACATCAACTGTATTTCAGTATCATGTCACGTCACTTGTCTTCACAGTTATGTTGGTGACCATTTCACTAGTTCACGTCTGAACATCATCATCATCTTTGTTACTGAAGGATCGGTAGACACAATCACTAAAGGCATTTCGGTAGGCTACAGAACCTATACCAAACAGAAAATCTTCTGCAAAATGCATGTTTGGCTGCAGGATAAAAACTGTCTTCGCTATCATGAAACCCAAATCTAGGAAATTAGCAGTGACACCATACCAGGAAACTTCTTCTTGATGGTAAGATTAGAGTCACGACAAATAGCAGTAATCGAACTTAAAATCGGGAGAAGTCATTTATACTAAATAAGATCTAGATGTCATAACCAAAGCAACTCGCACTATTTTCCAAAGATTATTACTAGATAGATCTGTTACTAAACGATACACAGCAGTCAGAAGTTGAATTAAAAAATTTAAGCAGTAGGGTAACTGCTGGAGTTCTACTGGCCTAAGACCGTGATTGCGAAAAGCGATTTATCCCATGATGCATGCCAAGGAAAGTTTAGTGAATGGGAAAAACTTTCATACTTATTAGCTTCAATTTCAAAGAACCAGGAGATATGGAGTAAATCATTAGCTCATAGATTTCTCGAAAAAGCCGGAAAATACATGAAAGTCTTCACAGTTAATCACTGGATTCCGAAGCAGGTGCTGATATATGTGGGCTTCATGATTGGCTGCATTTTAACCGGGTTATGTTTATCAAGTAAACTGCAACTCGCGATTTCTACTTATCAATTTGTAAGGCAAGACAGAAATATAATGATCCAGTTACATTTCAATTAGTTAGTGACGTTGACTCACGTTGGTATTCATCACAGATTAACACCAGTTGGAGGAACACTGGAAACCTGAGAGTCCTGAACAGCTGTCTCGCCCTAGCACCAGACTCCTCAACAGTGTGCAACCATGGCCAAATAAGGGATGTAACCTACTAGGACCATCAGGTCCCGCAACTCACACGTTACTATTGTGCTGATGGGCACAATATAACACTACCTCCATCCAATACCGTCATTCACTAATTCTTCTCATCTTCAACTTGATTGGATTGGTGGATTGCAAGACTCTGGAATGCTGAGTGAATGTCTAAACCGAAAGGAAAGATAACGAGGATAAGCAGATTGCATATTGCATGTTTAATTTGAAAGTGTTTGTTCATAAACCACTGAAGAAACTGTTTACCTGTAGATTTGGTTAGGGTATGGTCTCTGATACTGCTATATCATCCGGAAAGTTGAAAAAATGTGCATGTTACATGAGTGTCATTGGTTGTATGCCTCAATTTACTTTGAAATTCGTTCTACTTATGACCCACTTTGTAGCACTATTGTAAAGTCGAGTTGAAGAGATTTCGACTGACCCCCCACTCGTTTGTGTATGACATATATATTTAGGAAATAACTGAATGTTGATTGAGCCCCTTTGTTATGCATTACCCGATCTTTTGCGCCTGAAATCATTTGCTACATCCTTATTATTTATTGTGCGTTATAGTTAAGGTAATTTAGCTGCATATATATGTGAATGACACGACCGTAGATTCGATATACGGATAATAAGCTCTATACTTTATTTTCTACACTGTACACTGTTGGGATCCGTAGAATTGGTTGACTCAACGTTTAGATGAATTTAGCATACAAAACTTGGCTGATAGATTCGAGCTGAATCACGCTGAACGTCAGTCAGAATTAATACTGACTAACTCGATCCGGGAGTTTGTTTGTTAGGATTTATTATATTCAACTAAACACGAATATATCAGCTGATGGTTTTCAATATCCCTATCAAGTCTCAATCGCTTAGCACTGACTGAAGTCTATCTGTCAAGTTCATAATATGAACAGTGGGTTAAGTGAGGCGACTACTTAGGATTCCTCAGTAAGGTATATCTGCAATTTTGAGGAGACTCGTGTTTCATCGACAGTTTAATTCCTCGTCAGCTAGTTCTGAATAGAGGAGCTTTACCAGCAACTTGTTCAAGTACTAACTCAATCCCTGTACAACTCGAGGTATGCTTTACTGATAAACCCTAAGTCCAATGTTTACATTTTATTGATTCCCAACGACTAATCAAAAACCTCATTTATTATACTATTATTTGTCCTTTGCGTTCCTAGTGGAACATATGGATTCACTACTCTCTTCTCTGAAATCTTTTCAACCTGGCTCCACCACTGTCCAAAACCTTTCATTTCCTCCTCACACCATCTCAGTCTCATCTCCGATGCCGAACTCGACGTTTCCCATTTCACTTTCAATCGACGGCCTCACCTGACACGTGAAATCCCCAAATGGTCTTCTCAGTGTACACCCAATCCAGTCCATCTCCACTTTCTGCCTGTGCATATTTGTAGGGTGATGGGTTCGTGGTTGGTTCGTTGCCAGCCAGCCAGCCAGCCAGGAGTTCATTGTTGCTTATTTCTTTTATTCTGACCATCTGATCTTCAGTATCGAGTGAGCATAGGCCGTAGCTGTTGATGATGTATGTTTACAGTTTGTTGGAAATAGTTTTCTTAACGCACCAAGTCTCTCAACCATCACAAAAAAGCACTAATTTGACTGACTTAGTGTTGGAAATCGGGATCTTGTTTTTTTATGCTGAGTGCATTGTGGTAGATCTCCACGCTGATTTCAGGTTAAAGAAGGCCTGTCTCGCTGTCTTTCCGATCGTGGCTTTGATATCCTCATCTGTGTCGCCTGTATTTGAAACGATGCCTCCTACGTAGGTAGATGAAAGAGACAACTGCTTTTGGATTTCTCCTGCTGATAGTGATTGGTGCCTGTTGTATCTTCATCACTTCTGTCATCTTCATGTTCACTTGAAGCAAGTCCCGTCTTCTCTGCCCCTTTTGCCAGCTTGCTGCTGGATATTATGGTACTGTGCATTTAATACTAGACGGTTAGATGTAATCGAAATGAGGTTCTACAGAATTTCCCTTGTTTCATCTATGTGACTTCCGAGTTTACACATGCATTTATTCTGATATTGATGATGAATGCTGGCTGGTAATGGAATCTGAGACGTACGCTTTGTCCTATTTGGGGTTCATCGGCCGGATGAACGTGTCTTCCAGTGAGTGATGTTGCCCCCACTAAAACTCGAACTGAAGACTAGTCGCCCTAGATGTCAAAGCATTATCCACTAGGCCACTCAGTCACGATAACGAGTTCTTGTGAGTGGGGTATAGTATATGTTTGATACTTTAAGTTGTGAACCTGCGCCGTTGATTGGAACGAATTAATCGGCCACTTTTGACATATGAGCTACGGTACGGATGCCTCAAAGTGAATTTTATCCCATATGTCAAGCAGTAGTGTTAGGTCTCAGAAAACAGAGAGGGAAACAGATAAAATAGTTCGACTGATTCGTGTAAACCAAGGATACACTGACAAGTTGTTTCATCCTGGCACTCTCCTCATCAGATCATAACCTCAACAGGCCTCGATCCCTGGCAGGATCATGGATGCGCGCTGCTGAGGAGTCCCATGGTAGGACGAAACAGCTCTCCAGTACTCCCAGGTTTCCTATGTTCCTCCAACTGATATCAGTCGATGAAAATAACTGGGTTGTTTGTCAGTCCATTACTCTAGTGATTTTCATAGTTAGTATTTGGCACAATTCTGGAACACTCATTTTATCTAATCCTACAGATTTTAGTGAGTTTATTCTCCTCATATTCATATTCTTCTCATCTGTTTAGAAATGTCCTCACTGCCGTTGACTTCCACATTTTGTAATTCTAAGAAGTTTGACGATGTAAACCAGATAACATTGATGAAAAATTGCTACATTTATGCGTCTACCTGACAAGCCAAAGCAACAAAGCCTTGCTGACGTAAAGTCCGTCTTGGACAGTTAGTCTTGTTCCATCTGGTGTTCTTTAATCAGGAAGTATTGCTTAGCATGGATTCTCTTGCAACTCAGTGAGTGATGTTGTTCCCATTAAGACTTTAAACCCCAAAAGGGTTATTCACTAAGCCACTGGGGCATGATAGCTTTGGGGTTTAAAACGATGGCTTTACGGCTCAAATCACAATAAGAAAAGTATCCCTTACTAGAGTGCATATACATACAGCTTACGAGTCTCGAATCGGGCGAAACGTGCTTCTTGGATTCACTTCTGGTCACCAAGGTGAATACAGATATATTACATACATGCTTTTCTCTTTTGTTTTCTGCACACAGATAGTTGTCCCTCCAGGCTATCGTACACGTGCTGAACTAGTCATAACAGAAGATGAATACAATGGGAAATTTCAAGTTGAAACTATATTCGAAGGTTCAATCTCAGTGAAACTACGAGATAAAAAAGACGGATCTGTTGTATCTGTTGTAGTCATAAACGATTTGAGCAAACTATTAAACTCCAAGCATGGTTTCCATCCAATTCCAAATTCAACAGGCGCTGTTAGTTTCATCAATGAAGGCTCATGTCATTGTCACTTTGGAATTGGACAACGTGTTGAACTGCATGAAGAGAAAATTTAAGAGTGAAGTTTTTTGTTACTTATCATTATACTACTGTTATTTCATATAAGTAGCACGAATTCTTTTCAAAAATCCCAGTAACTTCTCAAGTGTATCTTGATATATCTACGAATCATTTCGCCTATTTAATTATCATAATATATAAATGTTTATTATTAAATAGCACCATTTCATTTTCACTTGTTTGAACAATCATGCTTTAGGGCTAACTCATTTCACTATCAATCTTTACTAGAAGTAACAGGTTTTAAGGTTAAAGAACGAGTAGAACGCTAATAAATCGCTTGAGAACCGCTACATTAGATAATAATCAGTAATGATAAAAGTACCACATCTAGAAATAACGCCCCATTCGCGAAAATTCTCTTGTTCAGCATCCCTGTGTGTATGTAGTGTTCTTACCTTTTACATTTCTACTCGATATTGTACCTTCTTCCCTCTCGGATCTCCGCCAGTAGGGTGCAATAACTTCTTGAACATCGGGGTGTATACTACTGATATGTGCTCTCATAAGTAGCGTTCGCTAGACCAACAACTTCAGGATTCCAATACCTAACAGTTGTCAAACGGTATTTATTTAATTTCTTTACAGATGCGGTTTCCTGTTGTGATTCTAGATCGAATTACTGGACCTCTGTTGGCAGGTGCGCTGCTCGAATATTCATACTGTTGAAGTTTACTTGGTGGTGGCGAAGAACGGAATCCAGGATATGCGTTCCGTCTGATTTAGGACAAGTCATCTGGGCACACATGTACGTCAGTGAATGATGATGTCCCTGCTGAAACTGAGAACCATAGCCATTGCCTTAAACGTCGAAGCATTACTCACCAGGTCACTCGGGTGGTTGTCGTGACTCAATTCAGTCCAGTCGAAGAAGGGAAATTATAAGTAGCAACAGGACCATACTCGTCATACAATGAATGGTTGTCGTGGCTCAGTGGCCTACAGGCATTTGAAACGGTCGGTTCCTGGTACCAGTCTTAGTGAGAACACTCACTGGAAGGCAGATACATCCGGCTGATGAGCCACAAATGGGACCAAACGCGCGTTCTAGATTCCATTACTAAACATTATCTAGCATTACTGTTTACTAGTAGTAATCTACAATAAGAATGAAGGTTGCAGGAAAGTGATGAACAGCTTTGGAATATAATGAAGCAACTTTAGTGTTTTGAATTTCATTGTTCTTGCCTTGTGAAGTATTACTGTCAAAATAGAATGCAAGCGTATACCCACAGTCAGTTTAATCCCCTGAAGTACAATGTGTAATGAGGTAATCTTCTGGTAAGATTCTACACTTTAACCATAGTAGCAGGGAAATCAACCCTATATCAGTGAATAATTTGTCGAACGTCCATCATCGTTATATGGAGGTCAGCAGTTAGTGACTATCTTTGATGTAAACTACTTTGAGATTAAATGATTCGCAGCAAAATCAGTTGAAGAATATTCTTTCTGCTGAACATGAAACTAAGTACTTGGTGATGCAAAATATTACGATGAAACAGCCGAAGTCAATGCTTACTTGTAAGGGACAAGACACGGAGAGTCCTGAAGTTGGTGGTAGCTGGTACTTTGCATATCAGAATGATCCGAAAAGCTTTACTAGTGTAATGTTTGTTCCTTCGATGTCCTGTCATAACAGGAAATTCAGTTGGATAGTGGTAAGATAAAAAGTCCTCAGCGACATACTGCAAATTCCTTCGCAAAATGGGGGGGGCAGACTCGTACTGCTGGTTGAACGCAGATTTGACCATGGTAAGACGTTTTCAATGCTATGTTGCCCTCCCTAAAGGAAGGAGAAGGAAGATAGGTTGGTCCTAAAAACAGTACACTCCATTCTATCGGTGTCAGGCATATAAGTTTATAAATGCTTTCAAAAAATAAACTCAAAGCTCGAACTTCTAAAAGGGCTTTATGTGACTGGCCTCAAGGAGATATCGCTTGAGCTCTGGGGCCATGCACTAACCCTACTTTTTGAGCACCTCGTAAAGGAAAAGCTTTCCATGATATGAGCAACCAGGAAGTAAAAACAGCCCTTACAACCCAGTTACCACTCAACTTACTTCAGTTCACTATCAACGCTCAGTATCCTCGCCTTATAATCTAATCAGTCAGTATTTCTAGATCATCTTTGATTTTTTCTACGGCTGCAACCTTTGAAAACAATTCACATTAACGGAGCACTGCCTCTGGTCTCTTGAAACTGCACTTCAAACTACATCCTGGAGATTTCAATGTCCGAACCCTCCGTCAAATCGATAGCATTAAGTGGTGAGGCAGAAAGTATACTGTTCGACTGAATCCTAGTTGACGCTTACATGTAAGCTGTTCGACTGAATGGTTGAGTAAGGATTACAAAGAATGATGAAATTCACTGTTGTCTCTTTTAATCCCTCCTTACGCACTGACTGGGGCTTGAATAAAGTAAGAGATGAGTTCAACCAGAAACCATCTAGCCTCCTACTTAAGGCCAAATGTTCAGATGTTGTTGTCCTAGAGGGTGATTTCATTGCACAAGTGGGCAGGCTACGTTCAACGAGAAGACACTGACATGGAGCTTCTGGAACCTTAGCCTAACGAACAAATAACGGCTGGTGCCTGCTACAACTAAGCTCAAATAACCATCTATTTCTGACTAGCAAAACTTCAGATATGAAGACACTGTCTAATGTGACATCCATCGACTTCAACTTGTGGTGGATACAGATAGATCAGTCATGCCTGGAGAGGTTTGCTGGGAGATTGCCAATAATTCTGCAGCAAGTGTTAAGATAGCGATCATGCATTGGTCCGAGTTCGCGTATGTTTACGCCTAAATGGAAGAGGGAAAACTACAGCAACATGAACATTCCCAGCACAGCTCGACTATGGGAAGACTAAGACTGCCTTCAACGGGAAACTGAGCCGATAATTATTTGAACAGAACAACGCTCATATAGAAAAAGCCTGAAACCATCTACAATCTAGTGTAAAAATAGTGTTGAAGACTGCAGCTGACTCTTAGAAAGACGTTATAAAGGGTTAACTGGTCTCAGTAACATTTTTTGCACTAATCGATGCGCATTAAGGCATTCCGAAAGTTCCAAGCATACTGACAGTTCACGCAATGACCATGGACAGTAGTGGGTGATGAAGGCCGTGGAGATGGGAAAGGTGATAAGTAACAGTAGACAGCTACTTAGACTGATGAAAGAAAAGGGTAGAAACGTCAATAGCTAGAGATACTAGAGTAGAGAAGGAGGGGTCTGAGATTCACTTGCGAAGGATACTTCTGGAACGATGGAAGGATCACTTCAAGGAACAGTCTAACTGGCCTCCAGCTACTATCCCCTTGCCTACTTGGATACCGAATAGAAAGTTGAAACAAAGCTAAGCTACAGTTGCAAATGTTGTAAGTAACCTGAAATGATGAAGAACAGTAGGACCAAATGAGCTAGTATCAGATCTTAGCCATTGATTGTCTCATATTTAAAGGAAGAAGAGCAATCCTTCCGTGATAACCACAAAGGAATTAATCTGATCAACCTAGTGTCTACGACCATGGGTTCTATAATCAGAGGACGTCTAAATAGAGTTCAAGCACAGCAAAACTGAGAAAACCAAGCAGGTTTCAGGGCTGGTTGTGTCAACTAGTTATTCTTCTTCCATCAAGTTTTAGAACACCTATACAATTTCTGGTGCAATACACTAGTTGTATTTCTCAACCTGAAGGCGGTATTCAACTCTGTCGGTAGAGAGGTACTATAGCAGTATCTCTCACTAATTAGGTGCCACGTAAGTGTATCACTCTGTCAAAGGCTCTGTACGCGAACACTCGTCGGCGTATCAGGTGAGTTGCGTACGTCGAGTGGTATCGGACAAGAATGTTAACAATCTCCGTTCTCACTCAAGTCTGCCTTACACATACTTAAAGGGAATGGCGTCTCCTCGTCTTACTTTAATAAGATTGACCATGTCACAATAGACCCTTTAGTAAACCTACAGTACGTACGTAGATCATAGTCCAATTAGGTGAAGATGCTGACAACATGTAGTCTCCTAGACACTTGAGTGGCAACTTGAGATAGGTTTCTGATCACCCAATTGCAAATTGTTGCTCCAGGACTCGTCTTCGCTGTTGCCTTGTTTAATAGAAAAGAAAGAGGCAGTTGAGTGGGTCCACCATTACAATTTGGATCAGCCCTGTTGGATCAGTGGACAAAGAAATCTCTCCAGCGATACATAAGACTCGGTCGGCTTGCACAAAATTACACCATTTCATTTATAATACCGCCGTCATATCCGTTTGTCTATTAAGGGCGGAGTGTACCACCGTGCAGTTCATTCTGTTAAGAAACATGATCATTAAAGGTTGAGAACATGAGAAGGCTTTATGTTGTATTTGTAGCCAGAAGAATTTCGATTGCTCCACATATGTCTGTCTTTTTTCGTATTCTGGTTAGGCCACCCCATGCTTAAAGGCTTTGTACACTTCCATGTATTTTGCTAAATACCAAAACTGTTGCAGTATGTGGGCTAGTCATCTTAATTTTCCTTCTCACTGAGTCAGATAGTGTGACGTAGGACTAAATAGAATATAACAGCTAAGAGGATAATAATAGTCAGGAGTAACATTTGAGAATTTCTCTCAGTGAGTTAATCATAGGACCTAAAAGGGAACCCAAACCGAGGTTAAGTCTCGAAAATCGGTCAAACCGCCAAGACAGAAATATGACACTTCAAATGTTTGACTACGGTTCCCTTTGTAGCATAGGTAGTGTTCTATGGTATCACTATATCATTAAAGTAGTTAGTAGTCAGGCGTACAGTTTTGGTGAGAAAAGGAAATTCAGTTGATAAGGTTGTGAACATTCATCGATTTAGGTAGCTAGAGCATGTACTATGAACGTCTAATCATCATGTGCTTCATCGGAAAATGTTGGCTGAAGTAGTTTCACGCTAAAAAAAGGTTAGAGACGGCCAGACTAAATGGTGGAATCAATCCCTGAAGTCTTCGTTGGTTTCTGTGAGCCGTGTAGGGAAATGTAGATTTCCCGGTTGGGGTAGGTGTAACAAGAGAAATCGGTGATAGAAAATATAGTTGATACGGCTCAGAATCGGGGTCAGCGGCGCAGATACATCCACACATAATTTTTATCCTAATCGTCATACTGAACTTCAGTATTCTGTCATTCCTTCTTAATCTCTCGTGATGACTTTCTAACTGACACTTTTGACGGCTATCCTTTTTAATTCTTTATGTTTCATCTTAGTTCCTGATGTACTCCCAAAAGATGCGGCAATTTAGACCACTAAGTAGTAATACTTGGTCCTCCGTTGATCTTGTCAACCTATCAGTTGATGGCGCAGTTATAGTCAAGGTAATATGCAACGAAATGGAAGGACTATAGAGCCGATGAGTTTAGCTCAGAGGGTAATCGTCTTAAATAAATAATGTTCGCAGCTAATGACATAAAATAAAGCCATTTTATCCCGCAAACCGCCATTACTTCTAAAGAACACAGTTTGAAGCAACGCATGAATGACACAAATTTCTCATGGATCATATGGAAGCAACTATTGTCCTTTCCAAACAAACAGTTTCAGCGAACGAAGCCCTGTTCATAGTAAGTGAGCGAAATCTGTGCTTCGGGGTGAATGGTCAAATGGATAACTTTCAACTGCTGTATGAACCAAGATAACAGAAAAAACACCATCATCATGTATTTGTTATTCAGGTGAACAAATTTGTTACAGAAGTGAAATTTCTTTTCATCGCTAAACGATGTGGACAGTAAGAGACAAGACATGACGAGCAACAGATTCTATCTGAGAGAGAAACATCCAGTTACTAAATGAATATCTTTCTTGTTACAAGCAAATATCATCGAAATTAAACCAGGATATTCCAGTCCACTGCTTATATTATTTACAAAAAGTAACTCTTGCGCTATATCGTGAGCTAACAGAAGTTGGAAATATAGAACATTAGATTCTCAGCCAGTGGATCAATGGTAACGTGCTAGTCACGGAATCTGATGGGCCGCGGGTTCGATCCCTGGAAGGCGGAGTCGTGGGTGCGCACTGCTGAGGAGTCCCATACTAGGACGAAACAGTCATCCGGTGCTCCCAGGTCTCCTTTGTTCCTCCAACTGATGTCAGTCTACGATGAATAACAACTTGAAATATTTCCAAACCTCCACAACTCCCTCAAAATTTAATTAAGTTGATGTGAGGAATTATTGATGAAATTTGTAAATTATCGATTAAACGATTATCCAGTATCGAACTATTCTGTTAAATAATTCACCAATTTGTTTAGGCAATTATATACGGATAACAAAACAACCGATACTGATAACGAAAGTTATTCAAATGAACTTCTATTTGACACTACAGTTCAGTAACAAAGAACTGTATTGTAGTGAGGAGCATCAATTTGAATAGTTAAGCTTCTGACATAGAGATAGAATGTTAACATAAAAGAAGGAATTCTTTCTAGATGACTGACTGACAATTCAGGTGACAGGAAACATCTAGTAAGCCAATGTATTTCATTCCTAATAATACATTCGAAACAATTTGATACGAAGAGTTTTGTTTAATCTGAACAATATCAAATACACGACAAATTTCATCGATTACGATAATATACCACTCAATAACATAAACGCGATAAAAAAAATTTTTTTTTTGAAATGAAATTTTAAACAAATAATCGTCCGAATTATGAAAATATGCAAAATGTATGTATACACTGAGGGGATGAGGCAACATGTTTACAAAGACACTTAAAACGAATTTTCCACATACCTCATCGAATTTCAAGCTAATGACATAGAAAATAAGCTGATGAGTGAATATACAAATAAAAAAAACATGTATTATTATATAAATTAGAAGATTTTCAGAATATTCGAAAACAAACATGGACATTATGCAAATTACGAAATTTTACTATGTTATTTTTATACTACTAACAGTAGTCAGATGTTAAAAAGGTGAAAAAAGCTTTCATCTGGAATCATTAGAGTACATACATTAAAAACCTACTCTCGTGTACATTTATTTAAGGAAGATGAAAATGTAAGACACTAAAGAACCAACGGAAAAAATCAATATTGACTAGAGATCAATAGGATATCACAGATTTATTTATCTATGGTATATTATAGTGAAAGAAGTAAGAAGTGTTGGAAAGGAAATTGTTCTAAATAAACAATGTATACGTCTTTCACTTTGACATTTTCAATGATACATATAACTTGCCTATTTAAATATAACAGTTTTATATTCATGATGTCAATGAATTGGATTTCGATCCTATTATAATTAATTCATTATGTTCACTATCGTGTATATTACAGGTAGACAACAATAGTTGAGTTGATTCAACATTCTCATCTATACTACTATTACAATATGCATTGAATTTAACGATAGGACCAGAAGATAGACTAAGAAATAATCCCGTATCTGTCAAAGCATACAATATAATTGGATAGTGATAAGATTTTAATGAATAACATGCTGGTATTGATGTTGATTGTTTAGAAGATGAGGAATTTGCAGAGAAGACATCAGAATTCTTAAACTGTATAATGAAATCCGTAGAAAATGGTATATAAATAGCAGCTAGATTTAAAGAATGATAGTCGAATACACTAGGAGAGGCAATCGACTGCCAAGCATAACCAATATGATAATTTTTTGGTGCAGGTAATGGATCAGTATAATTAATATTAGAATTATTATTATCATATTGATTCATTGGTAATCCAATACGATAATAAATTTGTGATGGATAAGTGGATGATAACAACCATACACCATTATTGCTCACATGGATACTTTAGAACAAAAATATAACAATAATAGAAAAAAAAATGGTGAATAACAAATTGCAACAGACTTTTTTAACCTTTAGGGTTTCGATATCAGACTACTTCAATATTGTGCACAGATACCCAGTTCTGTCGGCAGACAATTAAGACAAAAGTTGGTAAGTGTTAAATTTTTACGATAAGATTACCAAAATGTTTGTATAAACCCATCAACCCCTGGAGTCTTTTTTTCAACACGTGAACTAAGGTGTATATATCACATGAGTTGAAGAGACAAATCATCAATATAGCAATTTACCTTAATCATGGCTATCAGAGGAGTCTAGAACACTCGTTTCGTCCTATTTTGGGATCGTCAGCCGGATGTACCTACACCCCCCAATGAATGATGTTGTTCCAAATTACCATGATATTATTATTAGCATCCGTCTGCATGAACATCAACTAGCAGTGAAGCATCATCGCGTATCTCCCCTGATATCAATGCATACAGATAACAGTGAACATGGATTTGACTGAGAAAATGTGGAAATCCTGAATGAAGGAAATACAAAGAATCAGAGAGAATTTTTAGAAGCTTGGGGATTCAGGTCAATCAGGTATCAATAGACATATTGACATTGATCCAATCTATCAACCAATAAGAAACAATATTATGATAGTTTGGAAGAACATCATTTCATTGGGGTGTAGGTACATCCGGCTGACGATCCCAAAATAGGATGAAACGCGTGTTCTAGACTTCGCTGACAGCCATAATTAAGTAAATTGCTATATTGATGATTTGTCTGTTCAACTCATGTGATATTTACACCTTGGTTCATGCGTTTTTCTTCTGAAATCTTCGGGGGGGGGGGGAAACGATTGGTTGAAAAAGACTTCAGGGGTTTATGGGTTTATACAATATCGAGGTATCTGCATAGGTCAAGGTCGATCGATTCAATCCAATAAAACAAAGGAGAATTACAAGCATATCAATATACAGTTAAAAATCAATATGATGTTGAAATTTAGAAAGTCCAGAAAATCACTGAAGTCATTGTAAATATACATAAACCCTTGTAATTTTTAAATATTTGTTGACTTTGCTATACACCTTCTGTTATTATTTACCGCCTTTTGCATTTGCAAAAGTGGCAATGGGTACAGGATTTTAAAAGTAAGATTATCATTGACACGCTTCTATATGGATAAATTTGTCTTCAAATCATACGAACAGTTTCTATGGGTTGAAATTTTTTAGCATGATTCAAATCTATTTATGATATGCATAGACATTAATTCGAGATATCCACTTCGTGAAACGATGAGTACACTCTATACCGAAAGCAGAAAACTTCCTATTAATCACACAGTAACCATTTCGAATCTGATTATATTCTTCAGAATCAAAGTGTAGCCAAGTATTTACATCAGCTCACATACAGAAGATGCCGCCTACAGCCATATACTCATGTCTATACACCGTTGAATTATTCCCATATTTTAGAGCGTTATTATTACGCATATGTGTTTGAAGTTTTAAATACTAGTCCGTAAAATGCGGTATTTCGAAGACTTACAGGTTCACTGTGATACATACAAGTAGCTATGATGCAAACGTCAATAAGAATAAATTAGCCTAGAGAAAAACCTCGCCTGGTTAACTAGTTCACTAGTTACTAGCCGGTCATAAGCCCGGGTAAATACGGAAGGTTGGGCATACGGCTACCAACCCTACTCCATAAAACAAATTCAACCACTAAACAAACTTCAAAACACAAACAAAATATAAAAAATAAAAACAATATTATTCCTCGCTGGAATCGGAGAGGCGGAAGGAAGCTCGTTGGTGAAAGCCCTCGGGAAGCCAATTGGCCGATGTGTCTTCTCTCCCTCGATGAAAGCGAAAGTAAACGTGGGGACATGGAATGTCCGCACTATGTTTAAACCTAGCAAAGCTGCCCAAATTGCAAACGAGATGAGAAGATATCGCACTGAAGTGTTAGGAATTTGTGAAAGCAGATGCAATGAAAGTGGACTCTTCAAACTATTAACTGGAGAATCAATAATCTACTCCGGTCACCCAGATGACAACCACAAGCAACACGGAGGGAGTGGCTAACACTCGAGGCCCTCAAGTGGAACCCATATAGCAAGCGACGAGTTGGGCATGAAGGAGATCATGCGAGGAAGAAATGAGAGCTTCTGGGCTGTCGTGGAGCGAGGTTCAAAAGTTTGCAGAGAACAGAGTGCACTGGAGACGTTAGGGAACCAAGGGACAAATAAATAATAAATAATAGCCTAGAGAAAACGTTGATTAACTTCGACAGTACAGTATAGTACAGTATATATATATATATATATATATATATATATATATATATATATATATATATATATATAGTACAGTATGGCATCTTCAAACCAGTATTTATATGATGAAATTTAGTACACTCACCTTTTACATGGTGGTGAGGGTACATGCAACCAATAGAAACATTTATCTGGGTTACAATCTTCTTTAAAACATCGTACATAAACAGATTGATGATTAATTGAATTCATACTGATTTGTTTTTGAAATTCATATCTTATATTAGTTAAGAATTCAAAGGGATTATTATCAATATTTGATTTTTGAAGTGGACAACAAATACCACCAATAGACCATAAACATGTACCTAAACCGTAAAATTCCCAACTTGCTCCATTTATGGATGTAAAGTAAATTGATTGAAGTTGACTACTAGGATCATTGTCAGCTATACGATAAAATAAACATTTAAGATTGTATAATAATGCAAATCTAGTTAGTTGAGTAAACATTAATAATCAGGAACTATTGAAAAAATATTTATTCCTGCATAAAACCTATTCGATGTTGTATAGGTTTAAAGCGATAGAGAAACAATGAAACCATAAATTCTCATTCTAAAAGATCTTATTTTCAAGAAGCCTTCATTACAAATGAATGTCGATATGTCTTAGACTAGGATAAGATAGTTATTTTAAAACTATGAAAAGGTGGACTGAATGAAAACACTAAAAAAAATTCTAATGGATAATAAGAACCAGAGCATTACCACACTATAATACATATTATATAGCAAAGGCAACCTTCAAATTGCAAAAAGGAATGAAGAGTTCAAAACAAAACTTGATCAATTTTCCAATTCATTGCAAAAAAACTGAACACGATCAACACAAGTGCAACAGGAATCAAAACCTTTTCATAATAGTGTTCCGTTCTCTCAGCTGGATTGTTTAGTTATCTAGCTTTCATTGTCAATCTAGACAATTTCATCAAAACAAACTTCACACCTATAAGGTTTTTTTCACAATTTATTTAGTAGATTGTCCTGATGACCTTGTGCGTGATTGGTTGTTTTTCCCAAGGTCTTCCAGTTGTCTGTTTTGATGACCTGAAAAGAAACTCTTCCGAAAATTAAAACATCCACTCTTTGACAAAATGTTTTGTAAAACATCAAGCATATTCATATTGACAATGATGAATTGGTGATGTCTTTCGACGTTACAGCTCGATATATCTCAAATGAACCAAAACAGGCTAACGATACGATGACTTTTCTCTTTAACTATGATACACACCTCTCGGAACAAACTTACATTTTTAGATGTTCTGATCACTAGAATGGATTAGGAGAAATTCGAAACGGAAGTATACACAAAACCATCTCATACAGATCAAATACTCAACTATAATAGAACCAACCCAACAGAACACAACATCAATTGTATGAAAAACATTGTTCAAAAGAGCAAAACACACTGTAGTGCATCATCCTTGTGGAGAAAATAAGAAGACAGTTTAATGACTGTTTTCCACAAGAACGGCTATCCACGCAACTTCGTCAAAAGATTCTTCCCCAATTCCTTGTCAACCAACAAATCAATCTCACAAACTAACAAACCGACTGTCCTACTCTACGTGAACAACACCTCCAAGATCACGACTAGACTAATGAAGCCTTTCGGAATCTCTGCATCTTACAAGTGCATAAAATCTCTCCCCTCTCTGTTATGCAGGCCAAAAGATACAATAACAAACGGAGTCAAACCATACATTATCTACAAAATAAACTGTATAAAACACTACATCGGACAGAGTGGTAGAAATCTTCGTATTGGTCTACACAAACACCAACTAGCAGTGAAGCGTCATCACGTATCTCCCCTGATGTCAATGCATACAGGTAACTGTGGATATGGAATTGACTGAGAAAATGTGGAAATCCTGAAAGAAGGAAATACAAAGAATCAGAGAGAATTTTTAGAAGCTTGGGGATTCAGGTCAATCAGGTATCAATAGACATATTGACATTGATCCAATCTATCAATTAATAAGAAACAACAGGAAGGTTAAAGTCATGTCAGAAGGACAACCAATTAAAAACAAGGCTATCAGAACAAGCTCCTAAATAAATTGCAGAGAAAACTTTATAGCTCGCTTTCTTCTGAAGTTTATGCTAATGTTGTCTAGAATAACGACGAAAGCTCGACGATTAAGCAATCCATTAAGAATCATCCTCCTGAGCTACAAATATTCGACATCAGCTTAAGAATCATAACCATTCGTACTCATAAGCAGAGTTTAGTTTGTAATTCATGTACACGTATCCCACTTAACATCATTTTTTCCAATCAATTGACCATGTAGAATTATACATGAATTAGAACCTCCATCACGTTATAAGATGTGATGAGCTTTGATATAGTGAATTCCAACTATCACATTGATTAAACTGTTAACAGTAAATAGCTAAACACGAATAAGAAGAAACCTGTTTTGCATTCTATTACCTGGGAAATATGAATATATAAAAAAAGTTATGAATAACATGCACCCAATACTCAACTGTTTTTCCATGCAAAAAGACTTAAATTTAGTTTAGACAATAATAAGCCAAACTTTATTAAACACTTGAATATTATCACCTATCCGCTGTTTAGTCTTTTCTGTTATACATCTCTGGAGCATGACCATTAGAAGTTGAAGATATGAAGCGGTTACAGATTTTCGACAATAAATATCTTCATAGTATTACTTGTGTATCATGGAATCAATGTATATGTCAAGTGAAAGGTATTTAGCAAGATAGATAAGTCGATTGATGAGATTATCGGGCTTTATTGACTGAGGTGGCTTGGACATGTACTATGCATGACAAGTCAACGGCCAACTCAAAATATCATGCTAGAGGAAGTTGAATTAGGTTGAAAAAGGGTTTACGGTGGTCAGGTCAAGATGTAGCACCAATGCATGAAGTCCCTGATTGTTTGATTCGAGTCATGTAAGGAGATGTAGATTACCTGACTGAGGTCCTCTAGATGATAGGAATCGGTAGTTGAGGACTCTTAATGACATGACGGAAAATCGATGTCCCAGATTTATTCACTGCTTGACACTTTCTAAGGCTTGATTACTTGCGCTAACCTTTGCCATGAGATTATTTGTTCTTTTATGCAGCTTGTTAACTTTGAAACCAATCCTTTTATATCCATTTGTTCTCTGAATACTACTTTGAAGTGTGGATACTTGACGTGATGCAGTTGTCTTACAACACCGTACATTGGTTCTGTCTGTCTGAGTTCTTAAATACGAATCTATGTGCATTTTTACAAATGTACATAATAGTCATTTAAGATGCAGCTTTTCAATAACAAATCTTAGGTGCAATAGAGAATCTTTGTTGCTTAGTATACGGTTGATAATGATTTAGCGTTCTGTGAGCTTTAAGGTTTTTTTCTGAATATTTCATAACCAGATTGGATAACTTCATCAATGCTTACTTCATAGAGAAGTGAGGCATTTTCATGTTCCATGAATGTTTTAGTAGGATTTTTAAACTTGTCTATTCACGGACCAATAACGTTTAAACTGAACAAACCTCCTTCAAAAAACATTCATTGAAAATGCTTAACTTCCGTATGAAGTGAATACTGGTGAATTCGCCCAGTCTGGAGATGAATCATCTAAGAACAGACCATAATGTTCAAAGAAGGACAAAAAACTAACAGTCTATGAGTGTAAAATCTGACCAGTGTGATAGATCTATGTATTGATTGGACACGGAAGTGCAACCAATTTCATGCTGTCTAGTCCTGAGTGCAGACGGAATTCTATCGATCATATTTACAATGTGGCAACCAAGCTAGAAAGCTTAGCATCGTGGTGCATATATCAGTAGATATTAGTTGGTTGGAGGCATTCGGCAGGAAGCCCTGGACCTAGGTTTCATGTTTCTTGGCACTCGTCAGCAAGGCGTATCTGCGACCCTGATGGAACTGATGTCCCGACTGGGATTTGAACCCGCGACATCCAGTGTTGTAGTCGGCGACTTTACCACTGAGCTATACGGGCCACATCTGACCTCCTGTAGGACTACTGGCTTACATGTATTGATTGGTCACGAGAGTGCAACCAATTCCATGTTGTCTAGTCCTGAGTGCAGACCGAATTCCATTGATCATATTTACAAGATTTATTTGATATATAGCACACGTTAATATAGTAAATATTATTTACTGGATGACGTTTCGAGCGTAAATTATTATTACTCATAATCATATCAATGGAATCACACTACTTGCGATATCTGACTTTGTAGTAATCGACTATAAATTTCCTAATTTTATTCCTGTTTGTGATTATAAGTATCCTGATCTTCTCATATCCTCCTGTTTGGATATATTCGTCAATTTTGTTGAAATAATCCAATTTGTCTATAACTACTATTAAATTACATTTATCAGATTTAACAACTATTGTTATTATTATTTCCTAGATTATTTATAGCTAAATTTTCTTGTTTCATTGCCACTCCTTTTTTTGTTTTTTTTTCAGTGTTATTGAACACTGTACTCTAACCTATCCAGCAGTTGATGTATTCACCCAGTGTAAACGCTACTTCTATGCTAGGTATGACATCTTCAGATTTTAAATGATCTACTGTCACATTGAAGTTAAGTCCTTTTTCAAGTACCTTTCATTTCAGTTAAGTTTAAGGCTTTCAAGGAGAGAGATTGACTACCCATTTTGTTCTTTTCATGTTTCATTTGTAATATCATTATTTTCTGAAGGATACATTTCTTCTATTAATTTATGAAACTTTTATCATTTGATTGTTTCTTGAAAGCAGTTGGTTTTGTTTTATCTGATGTTTCTATGAGAAATTCATAGTCTCTACTGTTTACTATCTTCATCAGTTTATATATTAATGGTTCAATTTTATTCCAGGATATCACTTGTTTTTCTGATAATCTTGTGAATTTTTTCTCTTCGAGACAAAGTTTGCTAATATATTCTATTGTTGTTTTTGATTTTTTCAATAAGATATTAGAATGGATAGACGAAGATGTTTAGGGATGATTTGATTCTTTTATACAACGAAAGTTGTGTGAATTTATTGACTAGCCTTGGAAAAAGATTATACGTTTCATTAATATAAGTGTAAAACTTGGGCATCATGGGAGAATGTGATTCTATAATACATTCGGTTGTTTGATATATAGCATACAATGACACAGTATTGTTGTTTTGGATGACATTTCAAGCATAAATTATCATTGCTTGTAAGCATTTTAAATGTTATCATCATCTATCCAGATCAACATAGGACCAGGCATTACTGCGTAACGGTACCACTTGCCACATCTCATATCACTACATCAAGTAAAAAAGCAATGAGAAGCAAGATGGAGAATAGTAAATTCACCCAAAAGAAATATAAACTATGAAAAGAGAGAAAGGAAGGATGAGAAAATGGTGAGATTCGGTATAGCGTCGTTAAGATGAGGATTATGCGTCGATACATCTGCGCCACTGACCGGTTCCCAGTCATATCACCTAGTCTCCAACTACTGGTTCCTCTTGTCCCACAAACCCCAACCAGCTAGTTTACATAGCCCCCCCCCCACCACCACCACCACACGGCTCAAAACAACAGTCAAACACTTCATACTTTGGTGCCACGTTTTAGTCTGGCCACCTCGCGCCTTTTACCAGCCTGCACCCACTTCGGCCAACATTGTGTGACAAGGCAATCGGCAACTAGGCATACATAATACGCAATACGTGTCCCAACTATCTCAGTCGATGAAGGTTCATAACCTCGTCAACTGACTTACCTCTTCTCCCTCCCTAAAACTCTGCACCTGACTTCTGCGTTACTCACCTGGTGACACCACAAAACACGGCCTATACTACGAAGGTAACGGTGGTCAAACACTTGAAGCCTTCTCATATCTTCCACTTTCAGTGGCCATGTTTCACAGCCATACAGTAGAACAGATAGGACTGCTATGGACTACACGTGACCCTAATAGACAAAGGGATATCATGGCGGCACCATAGGTGGCGCAAATTGACAAAAACCAATTGAGCCTTTTGTATCCGTGCAGAGATTTCATCGGCAACTGAGCCACCGGGGCTGATCCTACTTCCCAGGTAAGTGAAGTGGTCGACACACTCAACCACTTCACTCTCTATGAAATCGTGCGCTATGCATTTATTCTTTAATAACAATAATAATAATAATAATAATAATAATAATAATAATGACAACAATAATAATAATAACTTAATTCCAAACAACACGAGGGCTATAATATAGAATTCCCAGCACGTGATATCTCAACAACTTCATTCCCGATACAATATTTTAAAGAGAAATACTCATTGCATATGAACAGTGTTAATAATGACAGTAACAAAACCCACAATGAGAAACAGGCACCTAGTATTACACTAGAGTCCGAAACGTTCTGGTCAGTGTGTGAAAGACAATTCGAGGCACTGGGTCACATCAATCTGTGTATACCAGTTTACTTGCTCTTATGGAGCTGAGTACATTAGCCGTATCATGCGTCTGCTTGTAAAGCGTGCCCGAAAACACAACCCAACTTGATTAGCAAAAGGAGAACGGAAATGCATCCTTAGTTCAATAACAGGACACCTCATGAACTGAGACCACTTACCTCCTTTTGAAAGCTCATTGAAAATCCTCTACAGGGTTCGATGGAACCACTCAAAGCAAGTAACATGAAGGCGTTTGTCAACAGCTGAAGCACTAGCTATCCAGAAGTTCAAATCAGTGTTATACATCCAAAAAAAATACGTCCAACCTTTATCTTTGCCATGGTCATCATGAAGCCTTGAAACTATTAAGTAACCAAACATGTATTTCCATAATCCATGGTTTATTTTCCTACTCTGTCATAGATTTAACCTTACAATTTTTATTTTCCTACTCTGGAATAATAATGTACTGTATTTCCATGCATTCATAAGCCCATCTCTTACTGGAATATCGTTTTTTTCTTCTTTGTTTTAGCTGAAAAAACGCCTGTTTGATACCACTTTAAAAGTGCACGACAGTACATGGCACGTTTAAAAGACATATAGAAGGAGAAGAATTTGATAAAATATATTCCACTGAAAATTTTCAGTAGCCCAAAATTTTAGCAGGCCATCCTGTAACTACGCATTTAGTAATGATAAAGAGAACAGCAGGCGAAGAAAATTGTTCTCCTTATACTGAGCTATATTTGTTAGAGGTTCTTTAGGTCTGAGTATTTCATCATGGATGTTTCATAATCAGCTTTGATAACTTCATCAACATCCTCTTCATGGAGAAGTGAGATAAGCTTAAGGCAAAATAGATGTTCTCGTTTACTTTTCTATTTGAGTCTAGGAGTCAGCTGTAAGTGAAAGCAGAGTTTTGTCACATTGATTAGTCACTAGATGATAGTAACCAATTTCATATTGTCAATTCGTGAATACTGACCAAGTTGGGAGGATTACTATCACCGTGCACTTTGATGTGATTATTATTTAGTCGGGTGACGATTAGTTTCAATTATATACTGTCTCTATCTTAAGCTTAAACGGTTTCTCTATGAATTTTGACTTTAATGAGTTGAAATAATACATGCTCTTCATGACAATGTCTTCCTTGTCAACTTCACTACTAAAAACTGAAGTTGACAAATAAAGCACTAACTACCAAATCAAATGATTCAATGACTATAAAACCATTTGAAACCTTCACCTGAAGTATATAAATCAATATCATCTTCTCTAGTCAAGTCTATAAAACAATTTAGAATGTAAATTACAACTGATAAGTCCCTTATTCTTCGATCATGTTGTCTACATGAGTCAGAAAAGGTGGTATACAATTGATTCTTAAAAGATGTTCATACCATGCACATTTGTTTAAGAGTTTTCAAGGGTTTCCAAGATAATACAGTTTGACAGTTTAATGAATGGTCTAGTTATTCTAAGATTCGTTAAAATTTCAACTTTTATCTCAGAAGAATCGTATAAAGCCATACTTTAGTACAGTCTGCGCCATGATTAGTTCTGTTTACTATCTCCTTGTACTAGACCAAACAGTGTTTAGAAAAATGAATAGTCAGTGGATATAGAAAATTGATCTAACGGAGTTGACAGACTAAATCAACGTAAAACCTCGTATACAAGTGCATCGGTTCAAGTTGCCACACTTCACAGCAGTACACAAAGAGAAAAGTTGGATAGAATAAGAGTGATATCCAAAAGTAGACAAAGTTATATCACTGAAAAAAAATTCTATGTTGAAGGTTAATGAAAATATTCAAGCTTCAGCAGCAATTGTGACCAATTTTCCCAACACGGCTTACACTTACTTCATTCGCTGGTGCCACGTCTTAGTCTAGTCACCCTGAACCTTCCTCGAACCTTCATGAATTGCAAGTGGAGGTAAGCGATGGTTCGGCATACGCAATACATGTCCATGTTACCTCAGTCGACTGAAGTTCATAACATCATCAATCGACTTACCTGATTTCCCAAATATCCTTCGCTTGACCTCAACATTACTATAAAGAGAAATCTGTAATCAAAAACCTGCAACAGCTTGACATCTTACACTCTTAAAAAGTCATATCTCATAGCCTTATAACAATAGAAAACGAACAATAGAATATAGCTTACATCATTCACCTTAAGTCATTGTCTGACGTTTCTGCCTGTCTTACTCGTATGGAAACAATGCGAACCTTTTTATACAAAGTACCATTCTGATACACAGTGTATAACAGACGTTTTTGGCTAGAATAATCACAAGTTTTCTTATTGATATAGACTACATTTTAAAAACTTGAATACATCACAGCGAAGTACTGTGAATAATTTCCTTAAGCAATGAATTAAGAAGGTGTGCTTCATGCCAACTTATTCAGTAACACCGGATCACCAGAATTCAGTTTCTCAGCATTCATGTTGCACCAAACTCTACAGAGATGAAATTTCACTGCATGAAATAAAATTAAAAGTTAAATACTCCTCGAATAATCCAACTTTATTTGTTTTTTGTGTACTACTACTCTGGAATGCTGCTCAAAGATACCCAAACATGTTCATTAGTAACAAAACTTGGAATACTGGCAATAATCCAGGAATAATAACACGATCCCATATGCTAACAGTGGTCAATCAATTCGGTTCAATCAACGCGGGAAATTTTCAATTTATAGCATCGAAACAATACTATGGATATCTTGACTCATTCGCCTAGAGGATAATGCTCTGATGATCAGGTCAATTGGTCCTAGTTTCAAGTACCAGAGGGGAAAAAATCACTGACGAGTTTCAAATGGGACAAAACGCATGTCCCGAATTTCACTACTAGCCATTATCTATCGTTAGTGTCATAACATTGTTAAGTTTAATCGCGTAGGTCAGGTATCTACGTACACTTAATCACTACTTTGGGCGGCTAGTCAGAACTCATTAGCTGCAAGTCTAAATTATAGGGATAAATTTAAATCAGAGACAGGGAAGTTACCTTACATGTGATATGTATATTTTACGTCTGAAGAAGACTATAACACTTAATTACCAATAAAAAGACTCGGGCAAACTGATGCACAATTCTACTGAAACGGTAAGAAACCACTTACACGTAGAATCCAAATTCCATGTTAATGCCTCCCAATAAGAATCATCCTTATTAGTAGTATTGTTATTCAGAAGTAATTTCGATGAAAACAAACGACCTTGACTATCTGTAGCCCATAATTTCATCTTAATGCAAGACAGTGATGTGAAGTAGGTGATAACTGTTGGATTGGTATTCAAATCCTTATTTTTCCAAAGATCTGAAGAAAAAGGCAGAGGATAGTAAGCGATCAACAAATTACTTTATGGATTTAAGTTAGTTTTCATCAAGAAGGATACCAGTAAAAGAAATATAACAACCTGATTGGTTTGCTTTAATTTCATATATAATTTGTTTATTTGATATATAGCGCACAGTTACACAGTATTATTTACTGGATGACGTTTCGAGCATAAATTATCATTGCTCATAATTATATCAATATAATCACACTTCTTTCGATATCGGATTTTTATGATCCTGTCACCTCACATTCTTTGTTTTCATTGGTAGTAAGGTTTCCTACATCTCTGTGTTGTAGACGTTGCGTCATTCCCATCACATGTAATATGTGCTGTTGTCCTATGACCGGCAGTACAACCTAACAGTCTATAAGGGAAACAAGCCTAACAGACTACGAACGATAAAAACCTAAAGCACAAACGAATCTACTCTAACGCAAATCAGAACGTCAACCACCATCACCACAATAATACCACCGATGCGCGAAGGCAAGAGGAGAAGATAGACCGTTGAGAGAGATGCTAAATATATACATTTCTAAATGACCCTGACAACGCTAAATCCTCATACTGGTAAAAATAGTTAATAACCAATAAGAGTTCAGCCTTGAGAGCAGGGGGAGAAAAAACTAGTAACGGTGTGAAAACAGCTATGTAGGTTATTTTAAGGTCATCGGCGAAACAGCAGGCAAAAGCTATACAAAATTAGGGATAAATAGCATGTACATTCGATGAAAAAAGATTCCGTGGTCAGTCTCTCTCTCCACCTGACTATATTGGCTTTTCGTATGATTGAACTTAAATCCTTTCCGTTATTGTGCTAATATGTTATGGTATAAGGAAGAAACATCAAAGCCTTTAGGTAGAATCGTCAATAAAGCTGGAATTAAAGTGGTAGTATTTGAACCGATAAAATTACTCAAAGATACACCTTATCGGCTTTAGGATTCTATTGACCCCATGTGACAAAATAATTTGATCCAGCAAATGTTAGGCAGTAATGATGAGGTCGAACCAATCGATTAGAGCTAGTTAGATGTTCGGATCATGAAGCTTTAGCCAAATTTATGATGAAAGGCCTCAATAAAATCAATAGTCTAGAAAAACACTCAGTTATCCCGATCTATGAACTTACATCTAACCGTATAATAAGGTGCAGAGAAGCACCTGTGGTATAGAGGAATATAGTCAAGTGGAGATAGAAATTGACCACTGAATCTTTGTTCATCAAATCAACACTCAACACGTGTAGTGGAAATGATGATGAATAGGAGGTGGTAGAAGTATAGAAATCATATGTCTTTCATTTGGTTATCAGACATAATATGTCCGCGAAACGTCATCCAGTAAATAACATATTACTGTATCACAGTGTATTAAATAAAGAAATCTACCACAATGTACAACTTTTGCAAATATTGAATTTCCAGGTTACTATTCATCATGGAATGATATCAGTTGAAGGGCTACTGAAAACCTCGGGGCACTGGACAGCTCTTTTATCCTGGTATGGAGCTCCTGAGTTGGATATCTAGCGGGTACTACTAAGGAGACTCATACTAAGTCTAAACAAGTGTCCAATGCTTCAAGGTATCCAATGGCTCTCTTCAACTGATGTCAATCCATGATGACTAAAATCTTAGAAATAAAATCCACATTGACCTCAAAGTAAATATTAAATTATTTCATTTTAGACTCAGTTAGTCTCTGAAGTTATGCAACTCAGAAACACAGAAACCATTATGGTATGAAAAACTAACAACTAGTGCCATCTTTTGAAAAATAATCACTTTTGCCAACCAATTTCACTTGCAGAAAATGAACATTTAGATGATGATGTGATTGCTTGGTGACAAACATTCACCAAAATCTTCAGAATGGATAACTGTTGACAATATGAATATTCACGGATGAGAGAAAAAGAAGATATGAGATTTTCTACCTCCTTATCAATTTTTATTGACCACATAAGACAGTTGTTGATAATTATGTCGTCGAGAATCTTGTTCGACAATTGCGTCTTCAATGAGTCATCCTTTTTAACAAGATGGATTGTTTATACATAATAAGAGAAACGGCAGTTCAGTCTGTACCGAAATTCCTCACATCTGGCTGTATTTACCAATGTCCAATTGTATTAGTACTATTATTAGGGTCTTAATGGAAAACTATTGAGTTACCGCACGACGTTGAATGTGTACAAGATGCCTTGACCTTACGGAGTGGATCGACCTTAATATAGAAAGAATACATTGGAAAGTGCATATACGCTTGTCAACTGTTCATGGCACCAAAATTTCCCTACATATTTAAACAGTTGTACTCGCTTTTTAAATGAGTATCATGCACATTCTCGATAGTGGGACCGGAACATAGGAAGTTGCGGAAACTGGTTCCAATATATTCCATGGCAACTTACCAAGTAATTTGGCAATGAAACTTCTAAATAATATGACAAATCTAGTCCAATGTCCAGAAGAAGGAAATAGACAACTTGCTTTACTATCAATGTCAATAAAACAAGCACATAATACCATTTAACATTATCAGTCGGAAGAAAAAATAGAGCAGAATACTAAAAGACATTGACATAATCAAATAATATACTCAAAACATTTAACTACTTTTTAACAAAAAGTAGTATAATTTGAAACCGTAAATTTGTTATCGGGTGTTTCTAACCTGGACAACTCAAAGTTAACCAACGCGTTCCAATTGGATTTTGATTTGACACACCGATACGACTCATGAATAAACCATTTGTGAATGCAATGAACAACTGTAATGGATAGTCACCACTTGATAATAATTCATTCGCCAGTGTACACATTGCACTAACAGTAAGCTTCTCATTTTGATCATTTTCGTTTGGATAAGGTATAAATAAATCGATGACTGATTTCACCTGTGTCTCTGCGTAACACTTAATCTACAAAAAGGATTGCAAACGGAACCGAAAGCATGTTGAAAAACGCTAGTAAGGCAAAAAAAATATGTACAAAATATTTGTCAAAAATTTTAAAAAGACAATAAACTTCTCGGTGGCTAAATCCCACTTTCTGAAATAGTGGTAATTTCACCGATCACTGTCCAATGTCCAACACTGCGTCCCGACCCTTGAATCATATAGAGTTAAATCGAAAGTCATCGTATATCAGTGTGTGTGTGGGTTAGTGTGCGTGTGTGTGGTTGTTCATATTCCCCCTTCATCGTGAATACCAGTTCGAAGCAGATTTCCGGACGAAACATTAGAATTATTGCATTTCGATTCGCTGGGAATTGTACAATCAGTTGATTCATTGCCAAATAAGCCAAGGTTCGAGTAACGTGTAAAATCTGAAGCACAGGAGTTGTTTGAAATATGAATCTCAGTCTCTGAAGGTTTATTACCATCAAAAACAATACACAGTTAGAAAAATAAACAGCAGAGTTGCATCCAACGTAAATCAAAAAGCCGAAAAAGTAGGATTCTCAGAGTAGAGTAAACAGTAAGATAACACCTGAAGGAACAACAGAAGACAACATAATAAAGTCATAGGATGCGAAAAATACTAACATACTAGAATGTTAAACGATAAAAACGATACGATTACAAAGAAATGCACCAAATAAGGACATATATCAGCTAACATTGTAAAAGAACTTAAACGTTATTACTCATTAGTAGTAAGTAGTATAGTGCGGCATGCAAAAAAAAGGGTAAAAGTGTTAAATCAAAATCAAAAAGTAAAAAACGAATTCACAAATCTAAACGGAGCCAACAAAAGATCAGATCAATTCAGCTACCTGTTAGTACTTTTGATATAATCAACTGCATTATATTAAGTGTACATTACCCTTGGAAGAACTTGGAGATTTCAGGAAGCTGTAGAAATTCTCACACAAAATTGGGTTTAAGTGTTGAATAGCGAATGTAACTGAATTCCACCTATCGCATATCATGAATATTGCCTTTTCAAACACTGCCGGTATCCAGCATGTTGTCATGTAAGCTTTATGTGGTGTTATTGATTCTAGTAGTCAGGATTCCATTCAAACAGCATGGAATGAGTCACTTTGAGTATAATTTTAATGAATCTCTTCATTGATAGTAATATTTGTAATCTAGAGTGTTAAATTAGGCGTACATCGCAACACTCCAGATGACAGCAATGGGTTTAGGTGCCTTCACTCACATAAAGTATCTACGGTATCTACTTTCTCGTTTGATAGACTACAAATAGAAGTAAACACATAACACTTGTATCAGTTTATACCGATTCTCGTTTATAATCCAATTCTTCGGATATCAATAGTTTGGTGGCAGATTTTCTATAAGAGATGAGTTTCCTTGAAACAGAAAATATGCCTTACTAGTGACCACAAACAAGCAAATAAGTTAGGTGTTGCTAATTCCTTGTTAGCATTGATGAGATGACATTACAACATATAGCGGAGAATCTCTGTAGCTCAGGTGGATGATCTTAGTTGTGTCGATAAACAATAAAGAGTTCAGAGGTCAGACAGAGAAATCTATGCAGTCACTGATAAAACAACCAAAGAAAATAACCAATTACAAACTAGTTCGTCAGGGCTAGCTACAGAATCATTCACGAAGAGATGCTGACAGCTCACTTTATATTGAAGTTAGTTCTGATGATATTGACTAAAGAGACAATGAAAAAGTTTTACGATTGAACTATCCAGCTCAGAATGCTCAACACAACCAAAACTACAACATATCATTAACATTTATAAGGTATACAATCAACCAACAAAGATCGCACTTTTGACTAGAGTCCAAATCAATTTCTCCTCCTGTGCTGAATTAATCTTATTGAAAGCTGGCGAAAATTGTTGAAGTTCTATTACAGTTCCATTGTTATATGCATTACATACTGAAACAGTATTATTTACTGGTGACTTTAGGCGTAGAATTTATTGCTAATAATCACATCAAGGTAATCACATAACATTCTAATCTAGTTTTGTAGTTTTTTACTCTTCGACTTGATTATTATTATTATTATTTGTCCCTTGGGTTCTTAGTGCAACATAGGGCCTCAGTAGCACGTCACCATTTCACTCTCTTCCAGCTCCACGACTGCTTAAAAGTTTTCACTTTTCCCTCACACGATTTCCTCCATGTCACTCTCGGACGCCCAACTCGTCGTTACCCATTTGGCTTCCACTCAAGGGTCTGACACGTGATGTCCCCAAACGGTCTACTCAATGTATGTCCAATCCAATCCATCTCCACTTTCCTCTGTATATTTGTTGAGCGATAGGTTGTTGGTTGGTTGGTTCGTTGTCAGCCAGCTAGAGTTCCTTGTTGCTCATTCTTATTATTCTGGCCATCTGATCTTCAGTAGTCGGATACTTTAAGTGAAATGGATGGAAATCGGTCACAATAGTGCAGATGTATTTACTCCTTGAAATCTTCTAAAGGTTTAATATTCACACTAACCTCTATCTTTAAATTGTTCATCTTACACACAACTTGGTCTACTTTGGTTTCAATTTTCCTGTCCACTCCTTCTTTGTACACTGGTATGAAGTGTGGCAACTCAAGGTGATGCACTTGTGTGGCAAGTTCTATGTTGATTTTATGTGTGTCTTTCTGCCTCACAGGTCAGTCTTCGTACCCTCTTACTTATGAAGTTGACTAAGCCTGCCTTAGCTGATATTGGATGAGATAACCTAAAGTCTAGGTATCGATTACGTTGTGAAGGTATTTTGTAGACACTGATATTTCAAAGTTCTTTTTGCCTTCGTCTGGCTTCGCAATCCAATGTCACTTTCTAGCTCATGTGTGAATGGAATTAATTGCATCAATTACTGAGCTTGTGTGTGCAAGAAATGTGTGGATATCTTCTGATTTCAATACTGTAAATATGTCCTCCACATATCTGCGCTATACTTTTGGCGTAGGGTCGTGTTCGCAGGGAAATGTGTTCTCAACTATCCACAACAGGAAAAACTGATGATTCCATGGCTACTCCTTCTGTTTGTTTGAATATTTTATCCTAAAACTTGAAAACAGTTGAGTTCATGCACAATCGCACCCCCAGAATGATTTACTCCTACTGATACCGCGATCATATGTGTGAGCTGTTTGTCATTGTTGAGTTCATTTCTAATTGCCTCAGGAGCCATATTGATTCGTATGTTATGCTAGTTACATTGAAGTAAACCACCTTTCTTTCATAGTCGTAAGAATTAAGAAGTTTTGATTGTAAACAGCCTCAAATAAAACCTAGCACAACTTTTCTCAGGGATGGCAAATTAGAACCTCAAATTTTAACCTTGCGAAACAACAAGTTATGTTGCCGTCAGATGCTCAGAATTCATACGCAAGTGTGACTCTTAGTTGTTTAGAGGTAATCCGCTCCACTTAGGCTTCGTGCTTGCTGGCAGTCGTCATCAAGGGATAACTGCAACATCGATAGAAGTGATGTCTCATGTAAGATTCGAATTCGCATCGCTTAATGTTGTAATTAGGGACGTTACAACCGAACTATTCAGCCGGCGAATAACCTCCTGTGGGAATGAATTACATTGGTCACTGGAGAGATGGATAAAAGGTTCAGGTTATCATCACAGACCATGACAAAGCCAGAAGGAACAAACCTGCAATTATTACCATACAAAAGAAACCTTTGTTTATGAAATTGCAATTTAATGGGGATATGGCCAGAGAAGTTTTATATTAGAGACTCTCTAGAGCCATTAAGAGGACCTTCTACGCAGCACAACTCTGTCTATCATTTCCAGTCGACCAATTGTTGCTGCTCAGACAAAAGATAAGGTATCTAGTTTTGCCATTTCTATGTATATTTACACGTTCAGCTGCTCCTGTGGAGAAAGTTATATGGGGCGTACAACTAGACAAGTTAACAAACGTGTTGCTGAGCATCTACCTTCATGGTTGGGAAAGGGACAGATAAAATCCATCGGAAGTTCGATTTTATCTCACCTTCTTGATAGTGGTCACTTGTTAGATAAGAACAATACTTTCACGATTATTCACAGCATACCACGTCACCTTTTGAAAGGTATTCAAACTTGTCTTTTACACATAGAAGAAGCTGTAGGAATTCGAGCTAATAATCTTTGTCTTTATGTCCAGAAGAAAATTGTACATCCCTTCGCCAAGGAATACTTAGTTAATAACTTTAGGATTCAGTTTTTTCCCACCCATTATCTTATTCTTCACCCTTTTCATATGCTTACTGTATTTGTTTAGGCTTAGTTTATCCACTTCAGTATTACGTAACACTTATTTTCACAAGCTTTGACCCAAGTTTATTATTGGAGTGCATACATTTGTATCTTGCTTTCTTGGTTCTTATCATCATTATGACCATCTATACTGCATGTGCCTTAGTCAACGTTATCACTTTCATCATTATCATCATTATTACTATTTGTATTATTGAAATAGTGGAGAATATTTGTAGCTCAAAGTGATGGTCTTGGTTGTATTGTGTTCCATGAGCTGGGTTGTTTAATTGTGAAGCTTTTATCGTCTTTCTAGACGACATCGTCAGCACTAACTTCAGTATGAAGTCAGCTACCTGTCAATATCTCTCCGTTAAAGATTTAGTGGCCTGCTCTGACGATGTGGTCTGTGGTTAGTTGTTTCCTTCGATTGTTGCGTCATTGACTGTATAGACTTTCCTGTTGGCTGTTCCTCTGCTTGACCTCTGACATTTCTGTCGTTTATCATTTTTCTCATTGATTGATAGACTGGGTATATGTCTATGCATATAGCAACAACCCAACAACACATAAAATTAGTTGCATGCAGACTATCCAAAAGGGCGAGGACACGCTGTAGTACAACACGAAGAAACGAAGAAAATTACCTAATGTCTATTCTAAAGAAGAACGGTTACTCACGAAACTTTATCAGAAGATGCCTATCCCATATATCATCAACTACAAAGTCATCAACAGAAACCAACAAACATATCACCCTACCATACATAAAGAATGTATCAGAAATCACAACAAGATCACTTGAAATTGGTGTGGCTCATAAACCAACAAATTCCCTCCAAACACTATTATGCAGACCAAAGGATGCAACAAGCAAAGAAGACAAACCGAATATCATTTACAAAATCAACTACAATAACTGTAGTCAACACACTACATTGGACAAAGTAGTTGCCCTGTTTGCCTTCGTTTACATGAACACCAATTGGCTACTAAACGTCACGACATTTCATCACTCATTTCAATGCATGTGGATAATTATGGACATGAATTCAATTTCGACAATATAGAAATCTTGGACGGAGAGAGAAAATATAAAGAGTATCAGAGGATTCCTAGAAGCTTGACATTCAGGTCAGTCAGTCAGTCAGCAATCAATAGATGAATAGACATAGACCCAATCTATCAACCAATGAGAAAACGTGATAAACGACAGAAAGTTCTGAGGTGAAGCAGAGGAACAACCAATAGGAAAATCTATACAGTCAGTTAATGACACAACAATCGAAGGAAACAACCAATCACAAACCAGTTCGTCAAAGCAAGCTACTAAATCACTGACGGAGAGATATTGACAGCTCACTTCATATTTCTATTATTATTATTATCACCATCGTTATTCTTAAAACATTTATCACATCAACCGACAAATTTACATGATTAGTTTAATTATATGTATATTCAGCTATGTGTATTAGAGTAAAGCTTGAAGAGGATCTAATTGAAAACAGTACTGTTCGCTTATATGTCTTGTTGTTATTTACATGATGGGAATTTTTAAAACTTTTAGTCATACTGGATGATGACTATCCGGTGGTCGCTGGTTCGAATCCGGCCTCGGTCCAGATTTTCATCTCATCTTCAATCGTTACCGAGTATAAATACTAGTCTACCAAACTACGGCTATCTCAGACAGTCAAATGATAACTTTTAATCAGTTTATCTCACACAGTCTGTGGAAGGTTGAATTGCGTGATTAGTTACTCAACTTATAAGTCGCAAATAAAAAAGAGTTCATAGTTAACTAATGGAACTAATGTTGCCAGGATGGAAAGTGTCATAGTTACTCGTTTATATAGATAAAGCGATAGTATCAACCATTATCTGATAATAACTACTTAATGATCTTCATAGCCAAAGTTCACATCATGACATCAAGATGAAAAGTAACGAGGAGGAAACAACTAAAAGTAATAAGACGCTATGAAAAGAGAAGAATGATTAGAGGGAATAAAGGAATATGACATTACAATTTAAATGACAGCAGACAGCATGAATACATCTGCAAAACTGTGAACATTCTCGATGAGTATCGTCCAGAGTGTCTAGTTATTAGCTTTAGTTTTTTCGCTAACTGACAACCAAAAAAACAAAACCGTTGTCTGATACCTCTGTGGGGAAACAGTTAGAGATTTGTTGTTCCACATTATGACGTTTTTTTGGCCTAATCTTAGCCTTTTTTTATCATAGTAATTATAATATAAGTGTAAAACTTTGGCACCGTGGTGGAATTTAATTCCATATTAGATTTGTCAATTTGATTCATATAACGCAGTAGATATAGTACTTAGAAGTAGTATTCATCATGGACTGACATCAATTGGGGAACCATTGGAAATCTAGGAGCACTTGACAGCTGTTTCGTCCTAGTATGGGAACTCCTCAGCAGTACGCACCCACGACCCAGATAGGCATCGAACTCAGGACCTTCAGGTTTCACGGCGAACGCGTTGACCATTCAGCCAGTGGACATTATGAATACTACTTCCAAAATAAAAATTCCCCATTCATCTCAAAAATAAATTACTGTATAATGCTCATTAGTGGCTCGCTTCCAGACGGATATCACGAAGCTCTAATGAGAAGCCGTGACCTGTTATGTCGTGAATTGACAGAAGTTTGAAATTGTGAACCACTGGAAACCGACTCAGTGGCTGAATGGTTAGCGTGTTCGCCGTGAAACCTGAAGGTTGTGAGTTCGGTCCGCAGTCGGGTCGTGGGTGCGTACTGCTCAGGAGTCCCATACTGGGATGAAACAGCTGTCCAGTGCTTCCAGACTTTCAGTGGTTCCCCAACAGATATCAGTCCACGATGAATACTACTTCTAAATTAAAAAAAACCCTATTCATCTCAAAGATATAGTACTACTTACTTGATGATGACATTTCGAGCACAAGCTATCATTGCTCATAATCATATTAATGTGATCTAAGAATTTCCAACATCTCATTTTGATAATCATATTGCCTCATTTTCCTTTCTTTTTTTTATTGGTATTAAAATTTTTTATATCTCTGGTATAGGTGTTGAGTCATTTCCATCACATGTACTGGCTGGGTGTTGATTCGATGAACAAAGATTCACTAATAAATCTCTCCCTCCCTTTCCATCTAATTATATAGGACCACCCGTCTTATTGTGTGGTTGTGTGTTAATGCGTTAATGTGTTAATGAAATACCCGAGTGTTTTTTGAGATTATAGATCTTATTCGAGTCTGTCATTCTATATTTAGCTAAATCTCCATATTGCGCCATTCTACTCGACAACACGAATAGAAAGGAGTTCACAGCCTCCATTGCGTTATCCTATAAGGAAGGTACATCAGAAACTTTACATAGAATCCTCAAAGAAGCTGGAATTATGGTCACAGTAAAACCTATAAAACTTACTCAGAGATAAGCTTTGTCGGTTGGCTTAAGCATCCGACAGAACCAACTAAGCAAAATAATCTAATCTATCAAATTCCATGTAATGACTGTAAGGTCAAGTACATAGAGAAACTAGCCAGTCGGGATCAGTTAGAATAGACGAATATAGGAATTTAGAGAATGACAGATCTCAATAAGATCAATAATTTAGAGAAACACTCGGTTATTCCAATGTATACATCAACACACAACAACACAATAGGGTGGATGGAATATAACCACCGTACTTAAGTCCAATATAATTAGGTGGAGAGAGATTGAATGCTGAATCATTGTTCATCGAATCGAAACCCAACATATGTAATAGGAATTGATGCAACACCTTATACCAGAGATATAGAAACAACATTGGTATGATTATGAGCAATGATCATTTATATTCGAAACGTGATCATCAAGTAAATAATACTATATCACTCACTATGTATTATAAATCAAATAAATAAATCTAATATGGAATCAAAGTAATTATACTGTAGTCAACACTTCATGGCAAGTTCAGTAATATTTTTGAAGGGGTTGTGGAGATTTGGAAATATTTCAAGTTGTTATTCATCGAAGACTGACATCAGTTGGAGGAACAAAGGAAACCTGGGAGCACTGGACAGCTGTTTCGTCCTAGTATGGGACTCCTCAGCAGTGCGCACCCACGACCCTACCAGCAGGGATCGAAACAGCTGTCCAGTGCTCCCAGGTTTCCTTTGTTCCTCCAACTGATGTCAGTCTTCGATGAATAACAACTTGAAGTTCAGTAATAGTTAGAATATCTAACATCAGACAATTGTTAATATCAGTTAGATTTAAAAAAATAATTAGAGATGCAGTATAATTGAAGATTATACTCACACCACGATTTGTTAAACTTCTTCTATCAGGTATCCACAAGGACTTTATAAATACATTATTATTGTTGTTATTACTATTACGATTTAGTGTAGAGAAGGTGTGCATAATGAGTAAATTATTAGCATTTCCAAACTCTGGTAACACATAATGATGTTGTTGCCATTGATATGTGGATAGGCAAGAGGATGATTTAATTGGTTGCATAACAACTGTAGTCTTATTCCAAGATTGTTGTAAAGTGATTCTCATTGGTTGATTGAAAATTAATTGATTAGGTTTACTTTCATTGTCATCATTAATATGGTCTTTGTTTTTGATAATTGAATGAGTATAACGAATTAATGGAACTGAGTAAGTGATAAGATCTATGGGGCATAATGAATAGAAAAAGATAAATGAATGCAAATCAAAGAAGGTAAGCTAAAGATACCAAAAGATATGGAACACGTCAGACTAGTTAAAGATAGCCTAATTATCAGGATTCAAGTATCTCCAGCATAATCATTCATAGATAACTCTTGATTACGAATAAAGTAACCTATGACAGTGATAACTGACAGATAGATAGATGTCAGCAACATAAGAGCAGTTCAAACTGATATATTTCAAAGCAGTATAGCGAGGATAAGTTAACGAAGAAGAGAAAATGATGTCTACGCCATTGTTCGATTCTGATTGTCACACACCTACCTAAAAGGCCTATACTTCTTTATACGTCTCTGATTAACAACCGTAGCCATCATAAATTATCGTAGCATCTTAGTCGGGATGCATTTAGACTTGATTTCAACTTAACCAACTGGTAGACAGTAGCTCAGTATCCCTAGGACATTTTTTGACTGCTGAAGTCGAATAGTGCTTCATGAACTTTTCAATCGCTTTATTACTCTTACATACTAATTTGGCAGTAATGGAACTACTACACGCAACTAATCCTATCAAGACAACCATGGCCATATACCTGAAACATTAATAAACCTTCCATATAGTTATGGTGAAGGAAGAAAACGCCGTAGTATCTATGATGGATATCAATTGTCAGTATTCGCATCTAACCTCATCACAGATGTCTGATGTATGACAGCATACGTACCTTTGATTTCTCATGCACTGACTCATTGACTCACTATGCAGAGAACACCTGACTGACTTAAAGTATGCACAGATATGTTCCCATTGGGGATAGAAAGAGATAAGATGATGAGTACTTAGAACAGTGTGAGCGAAAATCGGTGTGTATTTGACATGCGTCTCCCACCTGTCAGATAGAAGATAGTGCTTGAGGACTGTTTTGCACCGACTCGCAGTTTGAGGATGGGAATTGAAGTACGCTGCGTAGACGGCTTAACTTACTTGAGGAGTTGATGACGAAATCTTAGCTCCGATATAAAAGGCCCATTTGGGGTTCACCACACTGCGCCATCTTTAATGTCAATAAAGAAACAGTAGGCTCCACGACACTACGCCTTATATCATGGTACAGCTGAGACGTGACCGTTGAAAGCAGCTGATATTAGGAAAATACAAGTTTTGAGGATATATATACATAGTTGCTGATCTCAGTGTCGTATGCCTTCTGACTAAGGTTTGCAAAACGATATGAATCAAAGGTTGAAGACTCTTCATGATACGAATCGAAACAAGTCACAATGATTCAGAGGTTGTACACACTCTTTTTTGCCTTCAAAGTTTTGAATATTTGTATATAACCTTCATCTATCTATTCCTTCCCTCATTTACTTTTGTCTAGCTCTATGTCATACGTTTTCGACCTACTTTTTCTTTGCATCCTCATGTTAAGTGTGGCAACTTGAAACAATGCTCATCTGTACCAAGCTCTATGTTAATCTCAATGTGGCATTCATCATGGAGAAGCACTAAAAAACCAGCTGCCTGGCAGGGTCATGGGAGCACACTTCTGAAGAGTCCCATAATAAGACGAAACAGCTGTCCCGTGTTACCCGTTTTTCAATGTCTTTTGAAATAATTAAAGCGACTGCTAATTTTCTTACATGAGGTAAATGTCGACTAATGTCCACTCCACTAATATATTAACTACAATATTTCCCAACTACAAGCATAGGTAGTTACAATAAAGTTAGTGTTTACAATTGGTGAGAATCAAAGTCTCTGTCTAGTGATAGGTGGAAGGCTAATTAAGGTGTTTCACTGCTAATGAATCACTACGGTTAGGCAGTTTATATGTGATGGGATGCTCACCATCAATTTAGGATAATCGTAGTTAAAGAAGAAACACCTGTACACAAATCATAAAACAAAGAGATATACCTTTCGGTTTAGGTGAAATATGCTTCATAATGAAATCGCTGAAGCCACTTTTGTTCATTGCAGAACCACTGCAACTTATTTCACTAATCGTGAACTGAAAAAGGGAAAATAATAGGGATAAGTAATATACTACTATTTAACACTGAGTAATGTACAATTTATAGAACAAAATAATCAATAATAAGCCTCCTAGCCTGATGGCAATATTGCATAATGATCGATGTAATTCGATCAGCACTTAGGCTTTGACTACATGAAATTGGTTACCTACCCCCTAGTAACCGGGCAATGTACCGTTCAAACAGGTTAGTCGACTACAGATTGTGTCAAATCAATGAACCAACCACTGATAGATTAGATTCTGAAGGTAAATCGAATCCATTAGAACAGATTTCTCGGAGTATATTTAATAAGCCTATCTGACAACATAGTTTATAGATTCAAAAGGTGATCTAATCAACGAAGTCATAATGTTTCGAGATCTCAAAGTCATCATTTTTTCTAGCTCACAAAAGACAAATTACAATTTTGTCCAAACACATCAATAAAGATGAGCAGAAATGGAATAAAAGCAAGGCGTAAAGAATGTATACTACTGAATGAACGTAAAACAAAGCGGAACCTTATACTATAATCAGGTTGGTGATGTGTAGCAGTGAATTCCACAACACACATTCCGTTTCCTTTGAGATTCATCAGCTGGGTGTATCTGCATCCCGATTGAGACTCAGATCTAGCACCGATGACTTCAAAAGCCAAAGTATTACTCAATAGGACAGTAAGCCAGCCCCCGTTGTCCAATGGAGGCAGGTACATCTAGCTGAAGTGTTCCAAACAAGGTGAAACGCATAGCCCGAATTTCACTGCCACCTACCAGCAAACAAATTACAACATGATGAATAATCAGACCACATCGAGACATCCACATAGAAGCCGACGTGTCAACAGAGATTGATTAATTCAACCCATAATAACAACAGGGAATTACAAAATACCGATAAATTATCAAACGAAACCTGTTCTTTTTCATTGGGTAAGATACAAACAATAATAATAAGACATGTACCAGTGAAGAAATATTTCTCTCCAACGACTTCATTGTCAAGCTGTAAATTCGTATTTATAATCGGTAAAATGATAGATAGTTGTAGTAAGTAGTTACCACGTCAATATGCAAAATATACAATAGATGTTGGTGGTAGGATTTGTTCAAGTGGAAGAAGAAATAGAAAATGCATCAGTGAGGATAAGGAACGAATTGATAATAAGTGATGATGAGATAAGGGATGCGTATTATCAACGGATTGTAAAACGATGATAACCTAACTAGGGCATGCAAAATGGGTCAATGAAGCTCCAGCTGACTATATTAGGCTTTCCGAAAACGTGTTGCTGAACATTATCCCGGTTTGGCTTACCAAATGCAAGGGAAGAAAAAAAGATCTTCATCCATATGTAAACATCTAGTAGAGTTAGGTCATTCGACACGAGATTCATCCTTTAAGGTAATTTACAAAGTTAAATTGACCTACTCCAAAGGCTTATATTTTCACCACTTATGCATAGCTGAATCATTTAGCCATACATGAATAAAAAGCGAAATTTTGTATTGAAAAACCTCTTGTGAAACCACTTTCTCCACCTTGGCTTCAATAATTCATTTTGATTATCTTGTCAATTTCATTTCACTTTGGTGTACTTTTTTTTTAATTATTATCATTTTTCATTTCATTGACAACCTTTAATCCATATTTGACCATTTAATATCAATTCGTTACTTATTCATTGACCCACTTTATTGTGACCCAGTGGTGGTTGCGCGCGTGGGTATGATGAATACTGAGACTCAATAGACACCTCAAGCGAATACCTTTACGGCTGACCCCCCTCAGCACCTTCTGGTTCACTGAGCCGCGTAAAACCAGAAGACAAAGTCTGTAACTGCACGAACAGTGACATGACATATATGCATTCACAAAACTCTCAGAAAGTGAAGCTATAAATGAACCAATCAGATCTCTTGTACGAGGTCGAATTTCTCCAATCAGGTTCTCAGGTCAGATCATGCATAAATCCATGACCCGAACATGATCTGATCATGATTTGAAAACGACTCCCCCATTGGCTGCCTTCTTGTCGCTACGTATCATATTTTCCATGCCCCAGTTAAATTATCATCGTTTTACAATCCGTTGATAATACGCATCCCTTATCTCATCATCACTTATTATCAATTCGTTCCTTATCCTCACTGATGCATTTTCTATTTCTTCTTCCACTTGAACAAATCCTACCACCAACATCTATTGTATATTTTGCATATTGACGTGGTAACTACTTACTACAACTATCTATCATTTTACCGATTATAAATACGAATTTACAGCTTGACAATGAAGTCGTTGGAGAGAAATATTTCTTCACTGATATATGTCTTGGTCTTATTCATGAATGAATGAGTATATTTCATCAGAAAAAAACAATCATAATGAAAACTGTACTACTATTGATTACGTTGAATAATTTCGTTGATTATTCCATTGAATGATTTCCTGAAGCCTAACTGTATTCACTCCATACACGATTCTTATCACAACACAACCTGACTTACAGAAAGACATGTCAACGAACAAACCATCAAATCCTAACTTGGTTTATTATTTATTTTTTATTATTAGTCCCTTGGGTTCCTAGTGGAACAGAGGGCTTCACTAGCACGTCTCCAGTGAACTCTGTTCTCTGAGATCTTTTGGACCTGGTTCCACGACAGCTCACAAGCTCTCATTTCCTCCTCGCACGATCTCCTCCATATCACCCTCGGACGTCCAACTCGTCGCTTCCCATGGGGATTCCACTCGAGTGCCTGGCCTGACGCGTGATGTCTCCAGTCGGCCTTCTCAGTGTATGCCCAATCCATCTCCACTTCCTCCTGCATATTTGTTGCGTGATAGGTTCTTGGTTGGTTCGTTCCCAGAGCTCCTTGTTGCTTATTCTTTCTGGCCATCTCTAATTTGGTTTGGATATCTATAATGCTAACAAAATCTTTATCTCACTCAAAGTGAAAAACACAAGAAGGGAGTTTTAGTTTGTCATATTGGCATACCTACAAGGAAAGATAGTTAACTTGTTTTATGTCTGATTAAATCTCACTACCGGAGTGTTGGAAAGGAGTTTGTGCTTCGAATCTCATCGTGACGCATTCTTTATTAAAATTTCTTGCAATGTTTCATAAATGAGACATTCAGAAATGTTAAAGGTCTAGATGAGCAAGTTTTTTCCTAATAGACTACGTGTCATACTTTGCCTTACAGCTTACGATACTACTCTATCATTCAGGTCGAAGTAGACGGAGTGAACTTCAAACGCATGACCCTTTGAGGGATCGGTTTCAAGACGGTTAATTCTTGTGTCAAAATACTAACAATTTATCATTACTTTTCATAACCTCAGCAACCAACATGCCTAAAATGTTTATTCCCATTAAAGCTTGCAAAATAGTTAACTTGTTTAAAGGTTTTAAACTATATCCTTTTCGTATTATTATTTCTTATAGGTAAACACAATTATAGGGAAGAAAAATTTTTCTTATCGATAAAATCATTCACTCGTGAATATGTGATAAAAAGAAGAGAACATTCCAGATCAATTCCTGGTCAAAGGTCGATATAAATTACATCATAAAGGTAAGTTACCTAATGGGGAAATAAATAAAATGATTACGAAATAATAAAAAAAATAGTTACGTCATATTTGAGTTATTTAGAATGACCGATAATCTACAATGGGTTTAGCAAAGAAGGCGGTTGTATATACTTTTCTTGAATTTATAATGATGATTTGAAGTTTGAAATCACTAATGCTTCCAGTTATACCCAGATAACTTAGCCTCACTTCTTTCGAGTGACTTAGTTGCACTGATCAAAAGAAGTCATATGTCCTGAGTTTACTAAGTGTTCTATTACAGAGTTGAGGATGTATTTTGCATTCTACTCTTATCAATCAAGTTGGATAGTGTTCAAGAGTGCATTGCGTAAGCTGACGCATGGTACGATCAATGTATCCGGCTTCTACAGGAACAATTAAACTGATATACAGACATTGATGTAGCACAATGCTCCAATTTATCCTTTGCATGCTGCCAAATGAGTTTCTGACAGCCGCAGTATCTTTTTCGAAGCAGTATGCAGACGTACTATGGTGTGTGGGTATTCTCTTTTCATTAAAATTTCTATCAAGTTTTTCAGTTCATCATGGTTAGTGTCCTCTGTGCATATTCTTTGTATTCTTGAAGAGAGTGAATTGATAAGATTCCTCTTTCTGTTTAAGGGTATACAAGTTTGGAAACTTCCCACACCAAGCGGGATTTCTGAAAAAATGTACAGCTAAAACAATGATTCTATCAAAAAATAAAATTTTTCTTCGCTGTAATCATGTCTTTTCATTTGTTTAAATGGGATTATTTCAATATTAATCTTGAACAGTTTACATGAAAGAATAAATTTTCATTTTATTTTAAAAATAACATTTTTTAAAATGCATACAAACCTGATTCCAATCAGTTACTAGCTCATAATCCCCTTCTGTCTCAATAATCATCTGAATAAAACCATTTGATGAATGAATATTGCTATTATTATACGCCTTACTCTCTTGTGAGTGATATGTAACTAGAATCCAACCAGTTATAGAATGATATTTACAATCGATAAGGGAATTATTGTCTTTCTTATCCATCGACATTTTTTCTTTCTGACTAATTAACACAATCTGAAGTTCAAAGTTTACAGCTGAGGTTAAATCAGAAAGGGTTAACAAGTTCCCAGCTGAAATAAATCGTTCAAATAATGATCTGCTAAGCAATGAAGGTAATGTGAAACAAGTTGACCATTTTAACTGTTTCAATTGGTCCACAACACTAGTAGTAGTAGTAGTATTAGAGACTGATTTTACTTGAGGAAATGTGTTTCGGTGAGTAATAGACACAGGTAGAGTGGAACTTAGTAAGACCTGGGAACAGAAAAATGAAAACAAGAAAAAAAAGCGAATGACACAATGATAAGACAGACAATAAATTCTGAAAACCAAAAAAGAAAGGAATGCAGTATACATTGCTGCAATCAAGGTAGTTTAGTGATCCTAACAAAAAAAGCAGATCAATGACAGTTTTGTACGTTGAAATGTTGTTCATGTGACACCAACCTACTAAGCAAAACTCAAGTGGTTTGTATTGTATTAGGGATATTAATCTGTCTGCATTATGGCTTTTGAAAGTCATTTGCTGTTCTCATGAATCGATTTACCTGTGTCTAGTTATCATGGTTTATTGAAAACTAGTGATTTCATCTTCTACGGTATAGTTAGAAAAACAAGATTTATAGCCTAGAAAACTTTTTAACTGAAAACTAGATACATACAGTTGTTGTCTTCAACTCACACGAGAAATACTTCAAACTTTTCGAAAATAGAAAACAGTAGCCATAAAAATGAAATTTTAAATAAACTCACGAATCCATCATCGTTAGACGGTAGTGATTCTGTTTCATCATTTAACTGCTTGATAGCTAAACACCACACGAGACCAGAAAGACAAGTGGCCACTTGTAGAATGTGGTAGCCAGGGCATGGCCAGGTATATGACTGATTATACGGTCTCTTCGAGGACAAGCCAGTTTGGATCTGCATAAATTATAAAAGTACATAAAAAGAATCACACTTAAATTGAGATGAAGTGTCTCGCTACATACTCGAATAAATAATTATGTTTTTGATAAATACGACTACCTACTTATATCATATTAAGTAGTTGATAAAACAACAGAAACTATCCGGGAATTAAATTTGGCGCTGAAAAGCGTGGAGTCATTTCAGAATGTAACCTAAATGTTATAGGCACGAATAAAAGATCTACATGCTAGCATATACTAAAATTTGTCCTTTAATGTGCCTCAATCGTTAGCTATTTATGCAGAATATATTAAAACTGATACTCAGGAGCAAGTAAGATGTTCTCAAAACGTTTTTAAGGTTAAGTCAGGAGTGAAGATTCACACATAGGACTTTGAATCATACAGAATATATGTGAAAAAAATACTTCGATGACGTCAATCATAGAATTAAATAAAATCAAACAAACAAATGAAATCAACGATAACAGTGGTTATGGTGATAATATCAAATTAAAAACTAGTCAAACAGGTATTCGGTTAACTGCTTAAGATAATTCACAGGTGATTACAGTCAATCATCCGATGAATATATAACTTATACCTCGGATTAAAGTTGTAAAGCATCCTTAGGAAAAAAGTGAAAGCCTAAATAAGTGCAATATTCAAAAGTGGATAGGTACCACAATATATTCAGTCAGATCAGCAAAACCTAATTGTCTCCCATCAACTAAACCGACCAAGTCAAATATCAATCACATGCTACTGGGAAGTTATATCGATAAAGTAATCAACATTCTTCAATTGATCTCTAAAATTTCCCATTCATATCAATATCACTCACATTCGAATAGTTTGATAGAACAGATCATAGAATGGCAGTCAACTCAACTCTACCTCAACGACTTAAAAAAAGCAAACGACACCGTCGACCTAGAAGTAATTTGGCTGGCAGCTGCTTCAACACTACGGTTTTAGTGACACAAACCTTTATCAACCTCATTCAACAGCTGTTTGAGGATGCTAAATGTCAAGTGATTCATAATGTAAAGCTCAGTGATGCCTTTAAAGTGAAGACAACGTTGCCGCCTCCTATCACCGATCATCCTCCTGGTTGTGGTCGACTGGATCATGAAACTGTGAGCAGCTGTGAGAAGATGGGTATACGCTGTTTTACAGAAGAAAAGACTCTAGAAGATTTGGATTTCGCCGACGCTGACTTATGTCTAATATCTTATGTCGAACAAGCTCGAAGATCTACAGCCGAGAATTAACAAGTTGGCAGAAGAGGCAGGGCAGCGAAGACGGGACTTGCTCCAAGTAACTTAAAGAAGACAGATGTGATGAAGATAACCAACCAAAAACAATAAAAAGAGGCACCAATCACCATCAATGGGAGAAATGTGAAGGAAGTTGTCTCGTCCACCTACCTACACAGCATCACTTCAACTACAGGTGGCGGCACAGGCATAGATGAGGATGTCAAAGTCAGCCAGGATCGGAAACACAACATTAATCTGAAATCAGTGTGGAGATCTACTGCACTGCACTGCACTGCACTCAGCACAAAGCGTGAACGAGATCCGGATCTTCAACACCAACATCAGTCAAGTCAGTGCTTCCATGTGATGGTTGAGAGACTTGTCGCGTTACGAAAAACATTTCCAACGAACCGCAAGCATACATCAACAGCTGCCACCTACGCTCACTCGATACTGACGCTGAAGATCAGATAGACAGAATAATGAGAATAAGCAACAAGGAACTCTGACCGACTGGCTGGCTAGCTGGCCACGAACCAACAATCTATCGCCAAACAAATATGCAGAAGAAAAGAGCGGAGATGGATTGAATTGGGCATACATTGAGAAGACGGTTTGGGGACATCAGGCGTCATGCTAGGCCTTCGAGTGAAATGCAAAGGGGAAACGACGAGTTGGGCGTCCGAGGAGAGGTTGACATGGAGGAGATGGTGTAAGGAAGAAATGGAAGGTTGTGGGCAGTAGTGGAGCCAGGTTCAAAGGACTGCAGAGAAGAGAGTGAAATGGTGATATGCTACTGAAGCCCTATGTTCCGCCAGGAACCCAAAGGACAAATAATAATAATAACTCAATAGTTTCATGGTCACCTGAGTTAAATGGTAACAGAGTTTCCGATGAAAATCACTCATTAAAGGTAAAAAGTACTGTGCACTATTTGAATATACTGTTGGACAACATGAGTAGTAAAATATCACTCATATCCGTTTGAACATGATAAAACGATGTAACTCACCAGTAATGAACACTATGTGTATACTACCTCAATTTGGATAGTGGGGCATTGAAGAGTTTAGTAACTACATTTAGAATAAGTACACTTTAAGCTGCTATAAGTATGTATCCCTAAGAGTGATAAAATCAAACTGATGCATACGTTAAAATGATTTCAGCTACTTTCAACTTGAAACTGTTTCCTTCTTGTGTGAAAAAATACCCAACTAGGATGGATTATAGTACTTTTTAGAAATTCTATACACACATCATTTTCTGTACACGCATGTTATATTATTCTCAAGTCTTTTAATTTCATATACTAGAAAAAAAACTGTAGAACTAAGAGAAAACATCCCTAGTTGGATAGATGATCAGAGATATCAAGGACTAATACATGTATAATAGATGTTGAGAAACAAAGGAGTAGTGGATAATCAATTTAATTCCTTTCTTCATTTTGTAACTTTTTAAGTTAGTCTCTGTAATGGTCAGTATTTTGAGCTGGTGCTAAACATATAAAGGATAGTAAAAATCTATTGTAAGGTTGGTATTATCAAGTGACTATATTCGAATAGGGAAGAAGGGAACTTTTAAGCTCTACTTGTCGACTGAATAGCTGTCTGAAAGGATAAGAAAACTATTCATCTCAGTTACTGGCAGTGAAATCCAAAACGAGGGTTTCCTCCTATCTAGGACTTGTTATCTGGATGTACCTGAACCCCAGTGAGTTATGTTGTTCGCACTGAAACTCGAACCTAGTAACTATCATCAAGATGAATAAAACATGAAGAATATCCGGCAGTTTCCAGACATTTCGCTTAGGAGTTCATCTGCAAATAGAGGTCAAGCAAATCAACTCTGCATAGCAACAGGAAATTACGAGCATCAAATAACGATTCACAAACTAGTTTTATACATATGTAGACCATTATTCTAGGTATCGAATTTCACTTCACCTACTTCGAACTAGATAACCAGATAGTATAACACTTCCTAATATATTAGGTATTGCACATAGTTTAGTCAAAAGAAAAAATAGCCTGCACTGCCATCTTGACTTATATAATGGATAGAATGTGCAGAAAGATTGACAAAATCTTCATGAGAAGCTAAGTATGCCTGAAGCCTTTTCCAACTAGTCATTTTGCTTCGAAGTTTCAAGAAAAAAACACGTAAACCAACGTACAAGCATCAGATTAGTTGAAGAGATGAAAACCTGAAGGAACTTGGATCCAGTAGGCCTGGAAATAGCCTATATATATATAGTGCTTTGCATCACTAAAGTGCATAGTACTCTTGCAAGATTGGAAGAAGCCTGTGACTGCTCTCACCCTCGGTGGTGAGCCGTTGGAAGTAGTGGAAAAATTCGTGTATCTGAGTAGTTGTGCCAGTGCTGGTGGAGGTGTGAGAGGTGAAATTTCCAACCGCATATATAAAGACAGAGTGGTATACGTCAACCTAGGCCAGCTTTAGGTCCATTAGTCTGACCGTAAAAGGTCGGGTTTCAAACGCCTCAGTGTGATCAGTTCTGCCATACGCCTGTGAAACTTGGCCTTGCCAAGCTGAGGATATGGGAACACTCTGCGTGTTCGATAATCGTTGCCTCCGTAGGACTGCTAGTAACCGGTAGCAACACCATCAAGTAATTCTGAGGTACAACAGCGTGTGTTTAGGTATGATGGAGATCGTCATTCAGTAAGTGAAGTCATCTGGAGACACCGGCTTGTGTGGCTTGGACGTGTTACGCATGTCTACCCAAAGGCTCCCACATCGTTCATTGTTTGCTAACCCTGGAACTAGGTGGAAGAACCGGAAAGGATGGTCAGTGTATGACCTGGCGCCGAGGGATTAAGGATAGTTGTATCGGGTTAGCATGTGTTGGTGCGTTACGACTCTGTGGGACCTAAGAGATCACGCAACTTAGTGGCTTGAGACGTTAACGGATATGGTTCAGAATCGAAACCAGTGGTGGCCATGCTGTAGCTTCCTTCTATCTTCTGCCGCTGAAAAGTAATGAGTGTTTCGTTTCGAACGTATCTTTCCGGACTGCCCTTCTAATCATAATATTCTTATTGTTTTTCTTTCTTACTTATCCACTTCCCTTCGCTTTATGTCTTCATAATGTTGTTATATATATTTGTGTATATGTATTTGCCAAGGAAGACGAATCAGTCGATTTATATATATATATATATATATATATATATATATATATATATATATATATATATATATATATATCGACTGATTCGCCTTCTTTGGCAAATACCTTTCGCCTGACTTCAACATTGCTCACACGATGGTTCCACCAAACGTGAGCAATGCCACGAAGACATCTGTGGTCAAGAACTTCTACTCTCCTCATAACTTCTACTTTTAACGACCATGTCTCGGCGGTACTACAGGACAGGATGGACTGCAGTGCAGTATACTTGTCATTTAATAGGTAGTCAGATATATCGCCAGTCGGTGTCACTGACGACGCAAGTTGGCAAATGTCAAACGGGCCCACTGTATCCAAACTGAGATGACGTCAGCGACCAGCGTGTTCGGGGGGAAGCAACTATCTAAGTAAGTGAAGTTGAGGACATATTCCACCACTTCACTTCCTACCATTAATTTAGGGGTTCTTGTAGCACACCAGTCCTGGAGCATCATATTACATTTCACACAGGCCAGCGAAACGCATGCTAAACAAACTCAAATTTCTGCTCAACGTGTGCACAAGACCCTGAATATTGCCAGCAGGACAATGTAGTCTGTAAACTACAAGTTAGTCAGATGACCTCCAGAGAGTAGCTCAAACTTTGTGAAGTCAGACATACCCAAGGGTTCTGTCTATAAACACATCTCTAGGAAACTAATCAGGAATGGTGATAGTGGGCATCTCATGTCGGATACCGCTAGTTGATTTCAATTTAAGACTTGAATGCCGCCTTCAGGTCAAAATATAACAAGTGTGAGCGACCGGTAAGCATAACTGCGCTCAAGAACCTGTCAGAGGGAAAAAGTATGATCGATGTAACCTCGATCAGGTCTGAAACCTGCGTGGTTTCCTCGAGTTTACTCCTCTCGAGGTCCAGTTTGGCGTCGGATAACCATACATCCTAGGATCTTGGACACAATGTTAGTCGAACTAATTCCCTTAAGGTTGTCACAGGAAGACTTCTCTCCTTATAGACTGGAATGGTCAATGAAGTACACCATTCTGACAGCACTACCTCTAATTCCCATACACTACCTAGTATCCCCATCACTATAATCAATAGTTTTTGAACTTCATCCTTGAAAACTTCATGTGACAAACTGTCAGCACCTGCTGCCTTTTATCGTTTCAGGTCCGATACAGCCTTTTCAACTTCAAGGAGAATTGGAGGACTAGCATTTACTTCCCATTCAGGTTCAGGCTAAATGTCGGGCAACCGAAGCGTTGCTGTGGATCATTTGACCTTGGCTTGAGAATGTTCTTCTCACCGCTCTAGTTGCTTGTTCTGAGAAGTTATCAGGTTCCCATCCTTGTCGGTACTGGTTTCACTAACCATCGTCTTCTTCTTGTCAATATCATTAACAAGCGTGAATAATTTCCGGGTATTACTTAATGTCTTCTCTATTTCCCTTGCTCTCACCACCCACCAGTGCTCGCAAATATTGGGAAAACTCTCAGTTAACATATGTCTCAAATGATTTCGCTCTTCATCGCGTCAGAGCCTACTGGAATAAATTTTCTTGCATCATTCATTTTGGATGAGGTTGCGGAAATCCACTGATGTTGGCTAACCTTTAGATGCAACTCACCAACTGTCTTTGCCACCGTCTCAATAGCAGATTTAATATTACGCCATATTTCCTCAGGATGAGCATTGCTGTCACATCCAAAAAGTGATTCGCTATCTCTCTTGTAAATGCGTACTTGACAATCTTCCAATAGACCATAGACAGTCTACACTGCCGGTAGCTTTCTGCAATCATTAAGGAGCAGATACACACACACCCGTAATATATAGAGATCAGAGCCCAAAACGTGCTTCAAAAAAAGTGGCAATACACTACCGATCATCTCAAACGGTTGCTAATAGCAATGTGATCTTCCTGTGACCATCGTTGGTTTGATATCGGTTAAGGCTACGTGAGATAGTGTTTCTCCATATGCTTGAAGTTGATACCAGTCAGAAACAAGTGATTGCCGGAAAAAAATTGCAACAGAAGATCAGCGTTGTCGGTTTGTTGGCATGGGATACAGTAGATATCCTCAAATGCCTTCCTGATGGGCTCAACTTTCCTCCTTGAGCATTAAAGACTCCTACTATTATGACTATATCTGAATGTTTTGTTTTCAGTAGCAAAATTGACAGATTACTATTCCTTTGCACCATCCGAACAGCAGTCGGTGGGTGCACAGGCATCGGTTGGTTTCATGGTCCCTCCTAGTTTTTACAGATCCATTCAGTCAAGAAATGCAATCTCTGCTCTATAACTCTATGCAGTACCTACACCAGAGAGTCTTAGAGGTAGCCATTGAATCCCCGGATGCCCGTAAAGTGAATTTTGATGATTCACTACATTGCTAAGGTGAGGCCAATTTAATACCTACACTAGGGTCCTATATACGTGTCTCAAAAACAGTATACATCCATGGCTCGGAATTTCAGAGTTCTCACTAGCGATGCCTGTTGTCCGGGTTGGCATAGAGTTTGGATGTTGAAAGCTAGAATATGAAATCGACAGAGAGGTCTTAGGAGACTAGAAATGAGGTTTTGATCGTTGCCAACGATTGCAGAGTGAGTAATCGATGAACTTGTAAGAAGTGAAACATTAGTATCAAGAAGGGAAGAAAAGGAGTAGAGAGAGAGAGAGAGAGCGCTGCTGGTCATCTTACGAAAACACCTTACTGGCGTCACAGCCCCGTCCGGTCAGCAGCACGACTATGGTAACTGCTTTTCGTCTAACCATTATCCAACAGACATTTGTGGTATGATAGAACCTCAAGGAACAAGCGTTTCAGTTAGTTTACCTTGTTGTGTTATAGTAATAGGCAAGCCGAGCTACCATGTCAGTGAAGTGGCCATTGGTCTGTACCTTCTAAATACGATATAATGTGAGATAGTTAAAAGCAAAAAAGATTGACAACAAATTAAACTCATCAAACGAACGAACCTTTAAATGCCCGGATGATGTGGAAAAAACAGCATATGTATTACTCAAATCAACGCTTGTTATCTGTAACAGAACATTGAATTCCCATTGGCCAATTTCGTTGGAATCCCATGCTTTTAGGAGACTTTTTAAGCCACCAGATTCGAGGCATACATCAACGGAGAAGGATTTGCAGTTATCATTATTACTAACATTATTAGTTGCAAGGTTGTTTTGGTGGTTATTAGTTGACAGATTACGCGGGGGAACAAGACACCAAATAAGTTTTCCGTCTGGTGAAACGTGAATCTACAGATATAAATAAATCGAAGAAAGACTAACGATGACAAACGTTTCAATGAGACACCATTACCAATTATCAACACGATTTAACTTACTATTCATTATTATTTGTCCTTTGGGTTCCTGGCGGAACATAGGGCTTCAGTAGCATATCACCATTTCACTCTCTTCTCTGCAGTCCTTTGAACCTGGCTCCACTACTGCCCACAACCTTCCATTTCTTCCTTACACCATCTCCTCCATGTCAACCTCTCCTCGGACGCCCAACTCGTCGTTTCCCCTTTGCATTTCACTCGAAGGCCTAGCATGACGCCTGATGTCCCCAAACCGTCTTCTCAATGTATGCCCAATTCAATCCATCTCCGCTCTTTTCTTCTGCATATTTGTTTGGCGATAGATTGTTGGTTCGTGGCCAGCTAGCCAGCCAGTCGGTCAGAGTTCCTTGTTGCTTATTCTCATTATTCTGTCTATCTGATCTTCAGCGTCAGTATCGAGTGAGCGTAGGTGGCAGCTGTTGATGTATGCTTGCGGTTCGTTGGAAATGTTTTTCGTAACGCGACAAGTCTCTCAACCATCACATGGAAGCACTGACTTGACTGATGTTGGTGTTGAAGATCCGGATCTCGTTCACGCTTTATGCTGAGTGCAGTGCAGTGCAGTGCAGTAGATCTCCACACTGATTTCAGATTAATGTTGTGTTTCCGATCCTGGCTGACTTTGACATCCTCATCTATGCCTGTGCCGCCACCTGTAGTTGAAGTGATGCTGTGTAGGTAGGTGGACGAGACAACTTCCTTCACATTTCTCCCATTGATGGTGATTGGTGCCTCTTTTTATTGTTTTTGGTTGGTTATCTTCATCACATCTGTCTTCTTTAAGTTCACTTGAAGCAAGTGATTAAGGTAGATCACGCCTTTTCTGTGATATGCTGTGTCCCTTGTATTCCCCCTAAAGGTGCACGACTTCGCATCTTATCCATAGCCAAAGGCATAGGGATCAGAGGAAGAAAACCGGACCTATGTGTTCTAAAGAAACATGTACATCCACTTTGTTTACCTTGGCCTACAACAGAATCTACACGTTCTTTATAAACTTTCCTACCACAAACTATACATTTAAACCTCCCATCCCTTTCTACTACATTATCATTACATTGATAAACATTGGTTTTTTGTCATTAGTTTTGTCTTCTTTATTATTACCACTACAAGTAGTCATTTTCAGCCGTGACGTAATACTTCACATTTGTTTTTCTCTATGAAAATCTGGAACGAGGCCGGATTCGAACCAGCGACCACAGGATGGCTTGGACATATACTGTTCATGCCGAGTCAGCATCTAACTCGACACGTCACGCATGCTAGTGGAAGCTGCATAAGGTTGTAAGGAGGGTCAGGGTGGCCAGACCAAGACATGGGGCCAGTCTACCAAGTCCCTGACTCTTGGTCTGAATCATGTTTAGAGATATAGACTGCCTGGCTGAGGTCCTCGACCTAGTGGTCACTGGTTCGAATCCGGCCGCGGTCCAGATTTTCATCTCACCTTCAATCATCATCCAGTACAAATACTAGTCTGCCAAACTACGGCTATCTCAAATAGTCAAATGATAATTATTATTAAGCTCACTTACAGAGTACACATTGTCAAACTGCAAAGGTGCAAGAATTGTTTTGAGATTCTTTCGATTGACAGAATCATGTAAAGCAATACCTGGTCGACCGGTGAATTCGACAAATGGTAATAAATCGAAGCAATCAGTAGTTAAGTCATTTTCTGAAAGACTCGAAGTTTGACCATCACCAGCTGATGGTGTTATCATCGTCGACAGACAGAAGTCAAAAGACCATGCAGAAGAACCATGTAAGGTACACACATTTTTATTATTAGGGCTATTGGATCCATGTGATACAAGTCGATTCCCATCAGTATTCAATCCATTACCCATGTTATTGATAGTAATAAAAGTGGAATTAGCTTCTACACTCTGACACAATTGTACATCGGCATTATCACCATTGTTCCCTTTAGTTGAACAAGTTACTTCTCGATTTGTTGAAATGGCAACTTCATTCTCTTCATCAAACTTTTCTTCTATGTAGTCAATCTCTTCAAGGTTACTAGATGAACAAGAATCGATATTAAGTATCTTAGAAACTTCAGAGAATTCCGACTGATAAATTACATTAGTTGATGATGAATCGTGTCTTGAATTGCTGAAGGTAGAGTATTTTGAAAAAAGAAGAAAAGAAAAAATACGGTAAGTAATCAACAAACTTTAGGTTCGATGAAAATAAAGACTAAATTGATGCTTTAAATGACAAACTAGTCATTATGTTCTATGTATCGGTTATGAAATGGTTCGCATCAACAACATCACTTCAGAATGGACTTTCCTCCTGACAATTCATGTGTATAATGTATTAATATCCATACTTTAACACAACGATAATAACACCATTACTAATTAAATGTCTTAGTTACTGACTTATCTACAAGATCTGATTGTCTAGCTGCCGTGTGACTAGAGAAACAAAAGTCTATCTATTCGAATAGCTGCTGACGAAATCTCAGCTCGAACAGAAAAGGCTTGTTTGGCATTTACCAACTTGCGTCATCTCTTTTGCTGAGTGGCCAGATATCTCACTATCTATCAAAGGAGGAGTATACTGCTATGCAGTTTATTCTATCCTGTTATACGGCTATGAAACATGACCACTGGAATTACAATATATGAGGTGGTTACACGGTTTTCATCACAGATGCCTTCGTAACATTGCTCACGTTCGGTGGAATCACCGTGTGAACAATGTTGAGTTAAGGTGAAGAGTAATAAGCAAGAAATGCAAATTAATTGATGGTGTGAGCCTTAGTCGACTGAGATGGCTTACACATTTACTGTTCATGCCGAGTCAACATTTAACTCGACATGTCACGCATGCTAGTGGAAGCTGCATAAGGTTGTAAGGAGGTTCAGGGTGGCCAGACCAAGACATGGGGCCAGTCTACCAAGTCCCTGACTCTTGGTCTGAATCATGTTTAGAGATGTAGACTGCCTGGCTGGGGTTCTCGAGACATACGTAATCAGTGGTTGCGGACTCTTGGAGACGTGGCTGGAAATCAGTCACAATGGTGCAGATATATTCACTCATTGATGTCTTCCGAAGCTTGAATATTTCCACTAACCTCTATCTTCATATTGTTTATTCTCTCACACAACTTTGTCTGTTTTGATAGTCATTTTCAACCCATCCGTTCTTTGTGCACTAATGTGAAGTGTGGCAACTTGAGGTGATGTACTTCTGTGTGAGGTTCTACGTTGGTTTTATCCAAACTGAAGTTAGTGATTTCGTAAGCAGAGATTACAAATATATATCGGCGAGTTTCACTGTTCTTTTTAGTCCTCCCAGCACTGTTCAGACGGTCAGCACACAGGTGATTGTCAAATGAGATCTAGTCGAGCAGTGCACATTCTGCCTTAGCATTTAATGTTCTACCCACATCTGCAGGAACATGAGAATAAACCATCGATTCTCTAACAAACTCGAAGAGCGAGTTCAGCACATTCACTATATTGGTGAAGTGGGGCTAAGTGAATAACCACACTCGGGTATTGCATGTGTGTCTTAGGGAACACAGCACATATCTGTGGCCTAAGATGCTAGAGTTTTAGCTAGCAAAGATTGTTGGCTGATTTGGCTGAGCGTTTGGAAATTGTGTAGTTCGGAGCGTGATTTCAGGACACCAGCGATGCTGTTCGGTCGACTTACAGCGTTATCAAAGGCTGAAGAGCTATGAGAAATCAAAAATGATGTAGGATTATTAACAGACAGCTGTGAAATAAAATTAGAAGGCAAAGATGTTGAATGTTGGTAATGATCTGATGGAAATTGAGTGCTAACAGATATGTGAGGGAAGTCAACACTTCCCGGCTGCTTACACCATGGAAGGTTACTCTTTCTTGAGTTGCCTGGAGAAGAAATTGGACCGGTGGCCAAGAAGCATCCCGTTTTAGGTCGGTCACACGGCCTTTTCGCAAGTTTCGGGTTTAGTTTGGATTGATTCGCATTCACCCAGAAAACTTATACCGACAGCACCGAAAGACCGCAGAAAAGAGAGAAGTGTGCTATTTTTGGGGTCAACCTTTCCTCCAAGATAAATTTCGGAGTTCCCTGCTTGTTTTAACCCCCCCCCCCCTGAACAAGCGCTAACAGACAATTTCGGTTATAGTTCCTGCAATCTGTATACATAATGCACTTGAACTGATGTTATGGAAGATAATTTGAACGAAATAATCAGTCGATTGTCATCATTTTTCTATCCATATTTAATTTTGGTCATAAATCACGTGGATATATCTATCTATACATATTATGGATAACCGTTAGGCTATTCTAATGAAAACGATCAAGAGATGTAACCGATTAAATGTATTTCAAAAATAAATAAATAACTGACAAACATTGAAATTCGCAAGTTATCTATTTATCAATCAGTAGGAGAATATGTTACCTTGTTAGTTATCAAATTATGAAGATTATCATCATCAAATAAGAAGATAAATACCAATCAAATTATGACAGCTATGATAAAAATTAATTACATCCAAGGTAATGAGGATAAACACCAACATTTGTAAATATAAAGTTATGGTAGTATTTATTGTGGACTAAAATCAGTTGGAAAACCATTGGAAACCTGAAAGCAATGAAAACATGTTTCCTACTAGTATGTAACTGACTCCTTAGCAGGAAGTACTCACACTAAACGTGTTAACAAGTTAATGATTGATGTCAGTCCATGAAGAACACTACCTTTAAATAAGTAAAATCCACACAAGCCTTAAACTAACATTGTTGAATAGTGTTTATTAGTGACATGCTTCTAGATGGATACCTTGGAATTCTAATGAGAAGCTTTGACCTATGAGGTCATCTAACCGGAAGTGAAGTGGATGCCTAGTGAAGACCTGGCTGGATCATCGCACTTTATTGTGAATTGACGGAAACGAGAAACTGTGGATTATTTTAATCTGACTCAAAGGTCGAGTGGTTATCGTGTTCGCCATGGGACCTGAAAGACCTGTGTTAGATTCCTAGTGAGGTCATGGGAGAGTACTGCTGAAAAGTTCCGTGCTAGAACAAAAGACGTGTCCAGAGCTCTCAGGTTTTGAGTAGTCCTCCAATCGATATCAGTTCGTGATGAATACCACCTTAGAAATAAATTACACATAAACCTCAAACTACACTAAAGTAAGCTTATGTTTGAAAATCATAACTTTATAAAGAAAGATATTTAACTTCAAGATCCCAGAACCGTCGAGACATATTTAAGGCTGCGTCTTAGAATGAGGTGATGGAAAGGACTTACTACATTAAAAAACAACCAATCCCTACACCAAGTCAGATAACATTGATAGCTGGTTCCATGAATATAGAGGGATAAAATAAAAGGTAAATATGTGTATTGACAAACATCCAAAGTAATCGCTGCTAACAGATAAACCAGTTTCATCTTTACGTTTTATGTCACGATTTGTCCACTATGTTTTTCAAGTAACGTAAGCCAATGCACATATTCAGTTCTACTCAATATTGAAACACTTAACTTGTAAAAAAGCGGTAAATATAAGTTCAAGTTAAGCTTCATAGTCGGTGTGAACAAACAACACACGTTTGCGCAAACTAGAGATCAATGAAAGTTTCCAGGATGCTCTAAAAGTCGCTTACTCATGTGATATGACAAACAAATTAGGAAAGAGCAAAGGTATCGTTCGATGTAAGATTCAAAATACAACAGTTGCCTAAAGAATAGTTTACGCTATTGTGGACTTTAAAAAATCTATAAAGTGAGATATCTGCGTTACGCAGCACTATCATGAGAATAAGAAATGGAACACTGAGATGGAGAGTTCAGTCAACCTGATATATCTCAAGTACGAAAATTGTGGTTGTATTACTATGGTCTGTGGGAATACATTCTTCCTATAATTGTAACCCTGGTATCCTGGATATCAATTACACTATTCAATGCAGAAAAATAGTTTCTTCAGCACATCTAGGTGGATAATATAGACAGATACATAAAGTTAATTTAGAACCTCATATACAAGTGCATCATCTCAAGTTGCCACACTGGATACCAGGATACAAAGAACAGGTGGATAGAACTCTAAGTTGTGTGGGAGAATAAAAAAAATTGGAGAAAACGGTTGGTACAAATATCAAAGCTTTAGTAGATATCAAAGAGTGAATACGTCTACGCCACTGAGACCGATTTTCAGACATTTCACAAACAGTCCTCAACCACTGATTCCTATAGTCTCAAGGACTCCAATTAACTACATCTCGCTACACGTCTCAGATCAACAGTCAGGGACTTCATGAACTGACGCCATATCATGGTCTGGCCACCCTGAACCCTCTTCTAACCTAATCCAGCTTCCTCTAGCTCCTACCTCGATGCAGTAGTCGGACTTGAATATTCCAATGACTCAACGAACTATGTCAGTGGAACGCTTATTCCTTCAAAATCCTACCATGCCATAAAGATTTTGTTGGATAGTGGTAAGACAAAAGGCAGTTAGCATTATAGTGTAAATTGCTTCGCTGTAATGGGGGTCTGAAGGTGAAGTCATGCTGCTATTAGAAAAGGTCCACTCCAAATATAGCACACTCCCATCACTCCACGGCATGCTAATGTCTGTGACAGGGATATGTAGTCAGATTCCAATGCAAAGCACCAAAATCTCAAACTTGCAGAAAGACTGTGTGGTATCCTTCAGGCTCCGTGGTCACGCACTATCCCTACTTTTTTATGTACCTTAAGAAGAACTAAGTGTGATTTAATTATAGTTTGATGGGAAACGGCAGGTAAAGGAACTCAGGACTTCCAGACAAACTATATCACATATATCAATTCACTTGGTCTTGTGGAGCCAGGTATATATGTCGTTCGACGAGATTGTTATCCAAAAGGGTTCAAGAACACTATCCCGCGTGGTTACAAAGAGGTAACAATGGAGTGATAAGGAGTGCTATAATTGAACATATCGTGAAAACAAATTACCCTATCTTAAAACCCTCTTCGTTTAAAGTCATCTATAAAGTGAAAAGAAACCTCCAAAAGGCTGTATATCTTCGTATTCTCTGCATCGCCGAAGCTCTTGCCATCCAAATAGAGAAGCCTGAACTGTGTGCACAAAAGAAGATTGTTC